AACTTCGCTGTAACATCCAATCCTATCCACACTTTTCTGTAACTTCGCTGTAGCCTGTAACATCCAATCCTCTAGATGGTTCTTTGGGAATTGTTTTTTTTTCACAGGAACAATTGGAATTATATAAAGAACGATGCCATCATTCTGACAAAAACAACGAACACAAGGAATGTGTTCATAAAAATATTGGAACGATCTATGAATTAACTAATGCGGAACGAACGGTGGGAATGGAATCGCACTAAACAGAAACACATTCTAAAATGGAACTTATTTTATAAATGAGTGTGATTCATGTTCTTAATCCAACGTTTCAAGGCTGCAGCTTATTTAAAAAAATCGACCCTTAACTTAGTTTGTAAGGGTGCAAGGGAGATTTAAAAAAAGTCACTTTTAAATATGTTAGTTTTTGACCTGTATCTCAAATAATAAAAAAAGTAATTGTCAATTGACTATTTTTTGAAATACCAAAGTTCTAGAACAAGAAACGATCAAAATTTTTGACTATTAAAGTACGACTGGAATCATTTAAATCAAGAGAACACAAAGAACACAAAGAACACAAAGAACAGAACAAGATGGAACAATTGAATAAAGAACGCATGAGTACCAAGCAATCCAGCTGAAGGTCGTCGTTCTAGAATAATGAAAAAAATAGAAACATGCCTACCCCTAGTCACACACTGCACATCGTACCCACCAGTTAGATGAGAGCTTAAAATTCTCATATAGTGATATGCAGTGTAGAATCTCTTATTAATTCGGGCCTGTGCGGGTCCAATACACACATGGGTTGAAAACAGAATTTGGAATAAAATTCTCTAGTTTTCATTTAATATTAATCCGACAATTGCCTTATTTTCAGAATTTGATTCTAAAACTTTTTTGGAGTGTTATTCTTTTTTACAAGAACGATTATACAAAAAGATTTGGGTGTTATGTTTACCATGATGACTAAACACAATTGGTATTTTGTAAATGATGATGAAGAGAGGAAAGGTGTGTCTCAGAAAATGAGAAATGAATATATGAATGATTGGCGAGGAAGGTATTTTGGAAGTTGAGTTGGGGAGGGTAGCTTGAGATGGTAGGATATTAAAGAGGAAGTTGGGATTGGGATGGAAATCAGCTGTAGAGAAATTTGGGATTGGAAGATTTGGGATTAGGAATCAATGAGAGCTAGGATGAAAATAAGGGTTGTTATATTGGTAGTTAGAGTGATTGGAAAGATTGGGCAAAGGAATATAAGTGATTTAGTGGATAAAAATGTTAAATAGGAATGAAGACGACATTTTGGAAAGGATGAACGTGTTATTGTCAAGTTAGAATAAGAGAGAGAAAAGGATAAAAAATCATCTTTAGAATCATTCAATAATCCGACTCAGGTGGACAAGGAGTCCTTACAGATGTTAGGGAGCAATGAGTTTCCTATCAGTATGGCACCCGGCCTCTCCAGTATATCAGAAGAATTCATCCACTCTATTATTCTCAGGCCTAAGAAGCCCTTAGGCAGCTGGAATCTTGTCAACCCTCTTTTCAGTATAAATGAAGCGTGGATGGATGAATGTGCTGCCAGAATACAACCCCTGGTAGATCAATATAAACACACAGACAACACCTTAAACTTTCGCAATAGAAAAACACCGAGATTTGCTCGTAACAACCCGATCATGCCCTGGGGACAAAAAATCTCTTTTAAAGTTATTAAAAGGAATATACTTTCTTCAATATTGGAATTAAAGGCTGCAAGAGTTTTAGAGAACCCCTTGCTGCATCCTCTCCGTCAATATCCACAAACTTGGTGTCCTGCATGGAGCGGACTCTTGCATGGGGCCATTTAACCATGGTTCACCATTTAGCACAATGTTAGGCATAAAAAGCCATGTTTAAGCATTAAAAACTACTAGTTGACAAATATTAAATACGCATTTAGTTTTTAAATGTATTTTAAAGGGGGTAAAGGCAAAAAAGATTATTTCATCTTGAATGTCGTCTTCCTTTCAAATCTTCAAACAATTAATATTTACTCGAGGCATAGATAATTTTTAATGTGTTTTATTTATAAATCAAAATACATAAATAATTATCTGAAGATGTAATAGCATTGCTTTTTATGGCTAACATTGTGTTGAAATGGTTAAAACTCTAGGGGGAGTCAGCCCCATGCATGCAATAAAAATTAGCCTATGTCTAACTTTAAATCTGTATATTCAGTACATATCTTTCAGTTAGAGTGTTCTTGAGTTATACTTTAAGATTTAAACGAAAAGCAATGAAAACATTTTGATTTGTTGACTTTTTTATTATGTGTTAAAACTGTAGTTTATCAACTGTTTTACATATTCATTAGTTATAATTCGATCATGTTTGAATGATCTTATAACCAACTTAAACTTAACAATTTTAAATACATGACACAGGACTCTAACTTTTCTGCGAAATGATAATAAACAAAGTAAATAAGAAAAGCCTACAGAGAGAGAAAAAGCTTGCAAATACTAACAAACCTGGCTGTCAATTGATACCTTACAGTAAGTAAGGAAAAGTTCCAGAATTCTCCGGTAGGTGTCAGGTCAAGTCAAGGGCGTACACAGAAGAAGGGGAAGGGGCCAGTGCCCCCCCTTCCTAGAACTCAGAGCATAACACTTTTAAATCTGAAACTGAAGAGCGAAGAGCATAAAAAATAAGTTTGCTGTTTTTCTTCTACTCGTTTTGTTTGAAGGAGAGTTAAAGTAGCGTACTTGCAAGGTAATTGGACTATATGTGTGCCTTTAAAGTATCCAAGAAGCAAAATGTTTTGAATTTACAATTAAAACATAGATAAAGAATCCCCCCTCCCCCCTCCCGGCCCTCGACCACAAGAAGAAAGTTTTAATCTGATTATTCTTCTTCCTCCTCCACAGTTAATTAAAAGTTTTTATGTTTGTTGGTTAAATTAACCTTCAGCTCGAACTCACAAATACAACTAGATCATATTCAAAAGTTCTCAAAATAAACATAATTATGAATTTGTTGACGAGTAAAAAAGTTAACAAAAGTATTATTCCAATCTGTGTAATCTGTAGCCATTACCAACAGTAACAGTCCTATCTGAATAATCTGTAACAGTTAACAACAGTATCAGTCAAATCTGTGTAATCTGTAACAGTCACCAACAGTATCCGTCCTATCTGTGTAATCTGTAGCAGTTAACAACAGTATATTATATATATATAAATAAACATCTAAATAGATACTCAGCTAACGAACTGGATAAAAAATGAGAAACTATAGTTTAGAATTCACAACTTCACCTCGAGCATCTTGACTTTAACTGTTTAGGCCTGAACTAGGCAATATTGGGTAAACATATTGTTAAAACTTGAATTTTTCATCAAAATATGTAAAATAATCTTCTTCTGTCAAGTTATTTTTTTTTGCATGGCAATTATTTTCAGAGTTTTGTATATTCTATTTAAAAAGGATTTAAATAGACAAAATAAAATCAATGTTCACACATCTCCCAAATGAAATATACATCTATTTCAGAGACCTGATTAAAAATAAACCTTTTAATTAAGATATCAGATTTAAAAATATTTTTCTGAATAACTAAAAACGAGGGTTAAACCACTTTCATTTCTGAAACAATTGATAAGATAGGGTTATTTCTTTAATAATAATTTTTAGGTAAAGAAAAAACCTAAAAAAATACGCGAAAATACGTGAAATAAAAACCTAAAAACTTTGAACAATTATTACGAAAATATACGTTAGGTTGGAATCAAACTTTTAAACTCTAAAAAATACTTTTTTTATGTAAAGAAAATACCGAAAAAATATGTAAAAATGCATATAATAAAAACCATTATCAACAATTATTTGGCATGAATTTTCAAAAATACAAGTATTTTTAGGTTTGTTGTATCAAACTTATAAACTCTAAAAACAACCAATATAAAAAAACCAAAAAATACGTAAAAATACGTAAAAAAACATAAAAACTTAAAAAAGTTACTTGGTAAAAGTATACACAATTATTTGTTAAAATACGTCAATATATACAAGTTCATTACCAAAAAGTTTTCTTGATTTGTTAACGGCTGTGCCATTAAAAATTTTTTTTCGGCTCTTTGCGCCATAACGATTTCATAAAACGTTAATTTTTTAAAGGTTCATTAATGGCTGCGCGGTTAATGATTTCATTAGCCGTTAACAAATTTTAACGGCACAATTTGTGCCGTTAAAATGATTTGAGAATATGTTAGCAATAACGACCGTTATAATGGCTGCGCCGTTAACAATTTTCTTTAACAGTTAACAAATTTTTTCTTCGCACTTCGAGCTGTTAACGATTTCATAATACGTTAATAATGTAATTTCTTAAACCATTATTGACTACTTGAAATGCCCAGCCCTACTCCCATGTGTTTAGAGGCATGGATCCTATATAAATATATAAGTAAAGAATTGTATATATTATAAATAGAGTTGAATTGCAAGCTAGTAATAAAACAATTTGCTTTCTATCAATATATGCACATTGCTTAAATCGCCTCAGCTTTTCCAAAAACTATATAGCTGTAGAAAGCATGACTTTTAGAATCAAGGTATAACTTCAAATAGTCCAATGAGCATGAGACACAGCAAGTGTGCAGTGTAAACAGACACATTTTACTAAATTAGTAAATTTATAATTGTGTCTAGTAAAAGTATTTGCTTTGGAACAACATCAAATACACTTGAATATTTCTATAATGTTGTCTTTATAGTTTCAATGTTTTCTGAAGTTATCACTGTAGTTTAAGGGATCTCATGTTAAGNCTGGGGGGGGGGGGTCCAAAAATCGTTCACTAGGACAGACCCTAGATGTGTTTTACTTCCGTCTACAAAATCTATTTTATAATTAAATGCTACGAATACATAGCAATGTTTTTAAATTAAACCTAAGAAAACTCTTCTTGATTGCCTTCTAGCCCCCTCCTCTTATCAATTTTGTACATATAGCTCCTATGTAACACATGTATAAAGTTGGACATGTTGCCGCAGTGCGTATCCCCTTAGATTCGGCTCCTGCCCTCGACTGTCCTAGTCGAAGTGCTTGGTCCCCTATTCTGTTTAAGCCACAGTCTTCGGTCCAGAAAGTGATGGGGGGAGTCACTAAATTTTTCATTGCACACATTGATTATTTATTTGTTTGACCCATTAAATATTAATTGTTTGTAGGTTGACTTGAGTGCGGTGAGTTCTGATACCTACAGCGAGGTTAGCTGGTATGATCTACTCGCAAAGGTATTTTGAAGACTTTTTAAAATCCGAATTTGTTATATTTTTGCTCCTTTTATTCGGATCATTAATAGTTTTGCTCCCTAGGTCCGGATCAGTTTTTTTTTTGCGTTTTAGATCCGGATCAGAAATATTTTGGCTACTTTGATCCGGATCAGTAATAGTTTTGTTTTTAGATCTGGATCAGTAATGGTTTTGTTTTTAGATCAAGATCAGTAATAATTTTGCTCCCTAAATCCGGATCAGTAATTTTTTGGCTCCCTAATTCGGATGTGTAACATTTTGTCCTTCCAGATCCGCTTCTGAAACTAGGACTGAAAATAGTCAGATTCGCACTTTTCACAATAGAAAACCAAATATCTTTCACGTCATTGACCAGTGAAGAAAAAATTTTAATAATACGTTTGAGATTCTTTTTTAACCAATTTGAACTAATGTATTAATAAATAAATGGGTGAGAAATTAAGCGAAGGCCCTTTCAGTCAAGAAAATGAACAAATCTGGCGTTCCTAGAATCAAATTTTCTATCTTAATATTTAATCTCAAGACTAACATAATCTCGAGATTCTGTTTGCCTCGAGATTAGCAAAAAGAGAGGATTAAGCATTAATCTCGATATCCACCATTCTAAAGTTCCCAACTCAGAGCTTAAAACTTGTGGATATCGAGATCAATGCTTTTTTGTTGGTCTTAAGGGAGTGATCGGCTTTGTATAGTAGTTGAGCTGATTAAGTAGTATTGTGGACAAATTCTTTAGGATTCATTTGAGACATATAAAACAATTCTATTTTTTTTTTTGAGTTCGAGCGCAAAGTCGACATTCCGAATCGTCTTTTTGGGTAAATACGGTTTTAGAATTGTTTTTTTTTTAATTATTAAAAAACGACGACAATAAATGTCAAAAAATTCACAATAATCTGACGGCATAAAAAGAAACCGTTTAATAAAAGGAGCAACACTTTTAAATTTACCAAGTTTTTTTTTTTAAATCCTCAATTGAAAATTTACATGTTTGGAGACAACAATTTTCTCCGCTCAATTAATAATTAATTTAATCAATTAATTTAAAATCAATATTTTTAACGAAAAAAATTCCTTTTTATTTGAATATGATAATATCTATATATATACTTAAACTTATTACAAAAACCATTTCTGTAATATATTCATTTAATTTTTGTAATTCCGAAATGTTTTGAGTAAATTTCAGTGCCGGCCGGATCGTGATCAGCTGATATAGAAATATACAAATAGATATACGTATCTGAAAATCATGTTGCAACCCGCACAGGCGCAACACAAAAATACACAAAAAGATTTTGATGAGCAAAAGAAATTTAAAAAAATTATTATATGCTTATTTCGATGATTGAGTTAAGTCTTTTTTCTCAACCTGCTTCTATTTGTGCCATTAGTCTATTGTAGATTTGTTTTTACATTTTTTGTCGTTGTTATTTATTAATTTGAAAAAAATAATTTCAAAACGTATCCACCAAAAAAGACGATTTAAAAAGTCGGCTTTGCGCACAAACTCAGTGAATTTACATCGTAGAAATATGTCTCAAATTAATCTTAAAGAATTTTTCCACAATACTGCATACTTAGTTTAACTACCATACGTAGCCGGTCACTCCCTTTAAGCTTATTTTAATCTTAAGTTTGTATCCCGGAAAGTTTATTAAATTCAACCAATCAGAAGCCGGGAAATTTGGAATTTTGTGCGCCATTAAAGGAGAGAACTCTCTTTGGTCGGAATCTAGTAAGATATTCAGAATGAGCGGATTAAGCAATAATCAAAAGGTTTAATGTTGATGTAAGTTGTTTAAAATGAATTAATTTCAGGAAGCTAAGAAGAATAAAGGAATTGCAGCTAAGAAAGCTGCGGAAAAGGAAGGTGCCGGAGGGTCTGCTGCCACAGGTCAAGAAAATAACGAGATGATATGTAACCATTGATTGATTTATCGTCTTATTTTATTTATTTATCAATTAATGAATTCGAGCTCTTTATATTAAATGTCATATTTTTTTAATCGATTGTTTGATATAATTGATCAGAGGTTGATNCAGAAGTTAGGTTTGTTTTATTTTGTGATATTATTCGATGAAATGTGGAAAATAAATAAATTTTTGAATAAAAATGGGAATATTGCCTTTTAATGTCTATTTTTTATTTTGTCCCCCAGATCTTCAAAAATATTTTTTTCCTGTCCCCCAAGGGGAGGAGGGGGTATGGGGTAATTTTTAAAAATAGACACCCCTGAAGTTTATAAAAGATAAATGGAAGAAAAATATACCTCAGAAATCGGTCCGTTTGATTGTTTAGTTTATAGGCGATTGATTGATTGATTAATTGAACATCCATATTTGCAGCCCTGGACCCCTATGGATCAGATGATGATGAACAGTTGAAAGCTCTGGCAGCTCAGGGGCGTTCAAATCTCATTATTTTGCCCCTACCACCGCTCTGCGCCCCCCTCCCAGCCAGTCCTCTCATTCTATCCCTGACCCCATCTAATTTCCTCCCTCCCCTCCATTCTGAACTAGAATTTTGAGTAATAAATATTTTTTTGTTGAACGTTTCTTGTCTTTTACTATTTTATTATTTCCAAGTCGACAGCTTTATTTGGTGATTATTTTTATTGAGTGTTTTTGCTTTAAGAAGTGGTTTATAATTTTTGTAGATATAAAGGTTTCGGTCAAATATTTTTTTATTATTATTAAGCTTCATCAACCTTAATGACCGAAGGAATTTTTAAAAATGTTGTCTTATCAATCCCCGGTTAGATTTTAAATATTATTCTTCAAGGGGGAAGAATTGATTTAAAAAAATGATCTTAAATCCTTAACAAGCTTTTTTTTGCCACAATAGTCATTAAGGTTAGGATTATAAACTTGAACGATGTTACAGTTTGAGAAAAAGTACGCTGAACCCTCAAAGAAAAAAGGAATCATGATCTATTCAGTGTCCACTGATTTTTTCTTCTACGTTTTTAAAATCAAAAAGGAATTTCTTAATTACCTTGATAGGAGAAAATATGTGATTGAGATAATGAATGAACTTTTGCTTTAAATATTGTTCAATAAGTATTAAACAAAAAATATTTAGGAGGACGAATATTTTATCCCCCCACCCTCTTCCCAAAAATCTTCAGAAAAAATTTCTCTGCTTGATTTTCTTTATTTTGTTGATTCACCCAAATTACTATGATTGATCATGGTTTGTTTAATTACAGTGAAAAAACGGAAAGACTTCGATGATCTTGGTAAATGTATTTTAATTTATATAAATTTTTTTCCTTGTCTGCTTGTAAGTCAGAAAAAACGTCAAAATATTCAAAAATCCGCCAAAATTAAACGGGAAAATCTGTGAATGTTCATCACTGTTATTTTATGTACTGAGAAAAATTGTTAAAAATACAACACCAACGCTAAAAGTTTGTTAAGAAGATCGCTCAAAGCGCCTGAAAAGCATAGTAAATTTTGTTAAACGACGAATCAGTTTCATGATTACAATATATATAATTATAAAGCAATAATCAGAACAGCATCTCAGTTTTCATATTTATTAATACAAATTGTATCTCTCGATCCTCATCAGTCAATAAACATGGTTTAACATGAACATATATATTATAATCTTGAAACTGAATATATATATGTATATATATAATATATTTATATTAGATATACAAACTACCCCCCCCCTCCCCTCCTCCATGTTAAGTGAGATATATATTTTGTTGAAATTAGTGAATTTGAATGAATTTTCGTTTAAACGTATTTTAAAAATATTTACGCCTCCCATCCCCCCCAATCCCCCCGTGTTTATGTATTTTACTATGTAGGAGATGGATACGATGAATCTGATCCGTTCATTGACAATTCAGAGTGCTTCGACGAAACTGTTCCTCAGGTCATTAAATATACGATCCCTTATAGAAATAAATTTGAAGTAAACTCTGAAATCAGTGATTTGTGCGGATCCTGATCCTTGATCCTACCTGCTCAGTAATGGATCCGGATCCTTGATCCTTTTTGTAAAAATATTGATCCAGATCCTTGTTCCTTCCTGTAAAATGAATAAAAGATCCTTGATCCTTCTTGTAAAGTTATAGATCCGGATCCTTGATCCTTCCTATAAAATTATGGATCTGGATCCTTGATCCTTCCTGTGAAATTTATGATCCAGGTCCTTGATCCTCCCTGTATGATTATTGATCCGTATCCTTGACCATTCTTGTAAAATTATAGATCCGGATCCTTCATCATAAATTTTACATGCTCTAAAATCTGATTCTTTGGTTAAGAAATTGTCTTTGAATTTAGAAACTCTTTGTTGGACTCGGAAACTGTCTCTTAGTCTCGGAAATAGTTTCTTAGAAATTTGTCCAAACAGACGGAAAGACTAAAAAAAGCAAAAAAAATTGTTTTGGAGACTGTTTCAATCAGAAAACTGTTCCTTAGATTATGAAACTGTTTTAATAGGAATCTGCTCGATTGATTTTGAAACTTATTGATTAAAAGTATCGGGAAGTATCTTTAATTCCGATATTTATTTAGGAAATAACTACAGCTTTTGGTGGGTTTTATATCAATACTGGAATCCTGGAGTTCAAGGTAAACATCGCAAGTTTTAGATTTTTAAAATTTTTTTTTCAAATTCATCTTACATCAGTTTTATTTTTATTTCTCTTCTGACCCCATAAAAGAAAAAAACACCTCTTATTAAGAGTAACAAGAACGTGGTGTACGAGTTGTCTGACTCCTCCGACGACTCCGACACCCCAACAAGCACCACGGAGAAGAAGAAGAAGATAAAGAAGGAAAATGGAGGAGGAGGAGGGTCAGGAATACCAATCAAGAAAGCAAAGGTATTGGAATACTTCTGCAGATATATTGATTGTTGGTTGGTTGATTGATTCATTGATTCACTGATTCGTTATTTTGATTATTTCGTTAAATTGATAAATTTTTGATTTAAGGATTTATTTATTAATTGTTCATTAATTGCAATTGAATAAAGATTTATTTTAAACTAATTCCAAAATTTCAAATTGATTTCAAATGGATTTCAAATGGATTTCAAATAATTTTTAAAAACTTTTAATATTTTAAGATGATAAACACAAAGAGAAAGGCCCGAATGATTACGACAGCGGTAGGATCAGGACCTAATTCAAACGGAACTCTGAAAAAGGTGATGAGCAAAAACATTTTTTGATATTTTTATCTTAATTCATTGTAGGTGTGTTCTCTATTAAGCTAAATTTCTTAAATTTGAATGTCTGTATACATTAGGACCTGCACTTCCCACCGTGAACTCGAGTATAAAAATCACCCCTGTCCTTCTTAAAGACGATTTTAAGAATAAGGACGAATCCAAAGCTAAAGACGAGTTAAAAACAAAAGACGATGCCAAGCAAGAGGCCAAGAACAAGAGTGAGTTAAAGAGCAAGGATGAAACCAAGAGTAAAACTGAAATCAAGAATAAGGACGACACAAAGAGTAAGGACGACACAAAGAGTAAGGACGATCCTAGAAAAAAGGACGAAGTTAAAGGACTAATCAGTGTTAAAGCGTCCTCGGAGCTAATGGGTCCTAAACTCGGCAGTGCGCCCAGTTCAAAACCCGCGAGTGCGCCCCGCGACCTCAAGTCTGAAAGGAAAGGAGGGACGAACAAGAGCGTTGGTCAAAGTTCCCCAAAGCCTCCGGAACTAATAGATTTAGAGGTCAGTTCATGGATTTATATCTTCAAAACCTGACGGTTTTAACCTTTCATATTTAAAACTTTGCCTTCTTGATTTAGGAGATGGATACGATGAATCTGATCCGTTCATTGACANGGGGGGGGGGGTTGAATAAAATTAGCAGCAAAAGAAAGTTTTTTCATCTTTATTATTGATGATTTTTTCTCCAATAAATCTTAATTTTTTTTGTGACATTTGTTATGCTAGGCTCAGCTGAATGCTTTGTCGGGAGAAAGTGAGAGTACTCAATCCACGCCAGTCTCCAAAGGTATCTAGCTCATTTTTCAATTTTTAAAAAATCTTAATTTCTTTTTCTCTTGTTTCCCTGTAGTTGCTTATAGACATATGCCTTGAGACACTGGTCGTATTGGTGGAACAGATTAATTCACGTCAAAATTTAGATTTAAAATTTTATTCTAGTAAAGCGTTATCGTTTGCATACTTTCGTTACATTCCACATTCATCTTTATTACTTTTTAAACATACATACATTTTAATTTTTTAAACCCAACAAAGAAAGAAAAAGCTGCGAAATAAAGGTAAAGCTAAGATCCACCGTTCACCTCAGCTATGAAGTGAGGTTTTAAAAACAAAGACACCTGAGTTTTTTTTTCAGATTCTGAAAGTAGACTAGGTCCAGACCTAGCATGTTGATTTTTAGAAATCCCTGTCGACTGTCGAGCCCTTTTTCAGAAAATTCCATTTAAGCTTTTTTTTGTGTAGTTAAGACTAAAAAAAGGGCGTTTGACTTAAAAGTTTTCGTGAGATTGTTAGGAAACCCGAAACGTCTTGAGCTTTTCTGCTTAAACATTATCATCATATGATAAATTTATTAATTTAGAATAAACAAAAAGAAATAAATTAACCATATAGACAATGATTTTATATGGTTTAAACCTCAAATGATGAAAATTTCCAGAAGCAAGGAATGCATCCTTGTCCGCCGATGGTTCAATGTGATTATCTATTGAGTAGATAATTACTTTGTATATTTTCGTTTGGCAAAAATTATGGACTAAAAGATTAAGATGTTTTCACAAAATTATTTATTTTTCAGGAAACACTTCGAGCAGCAACCTGAATAAATCCAGGTATCTTATCTTGTAAAAGCGGAAAATATTTTTTTTTGTGTGAAAATATCGAAGTTTAATCGATCCTTCGAAATCTTAAGTAATTATAAAGAGAATTTCTAATTTGGCGATTTTTTTTCTTTAAAGAATCGATAATTTTTTTTGCTAAAAAATGTTATTGTTTCTTTAGTTCTAGCAGTTCAGTGAATAAACCTCCAAGTTCTAATTGTTCAAGTTTTTCCATCTCAAGACTAGCATCACCTTCAGTAGGTAACAACCATCCCCCAAGCACAATAATCTATATACAGGGTTACCCACAAAGGATGAGACTTCAGAGAAGACTAATCGGAATTTATACTGTCTGCTTCTATATATTTATAACTCCCTGCAACTAATAAACTTCTTTTTTTCTTTGCCAAAACTTTAAATAAGCTATTTAATGATTATATTGAAGGCATGAGACTTAATTTAATCCTGGGATTGTCATTCGTCTTTACAGTCTCATCCTGTTCGGGTTTTCTTGATAAACAGGGTTTTTATTGACAGAATGGGTTCGTATTGAGAGAGGATTTGTTATAGACAGACGGTTTGTAATGATAGACGGTTTGTATAGACAGACAGTTTGTATAGACAGACGGTTTGTATTAAAAGATGGAGTTTATATAGACAGATGGGGAATTGTATTGACAGACAGGGTTTTTTATTGACATAGTTTGTACTGGGAGACGGTTTTTATTGACGGATGGTTTTTATTAACGGATGGGGTTTGTATAGACAGATGGGGTTTGTATTGACAGATGGGGTTTCTTTTGACAGACGGGGTTTGTATTGATAGACAGTGTTTGTATTGCCAGACGGGGCTTCTATTGACAGACAGGGTTCGTATTGAGAGTCGGTTTGAAATGACGGACGGTTTGTATAGACAGACATAGAAAGATTGGGTTTGTATTGACAGACGGGGTTTGTATTGACAGATGGGGTTTGTATTGACAGACGGGTTTGTATTGACAGACGGGGTTCGTACTGACAGACGGGGTTCGTACTGACAGACGGGGTTCGTACTGACAGTCGGGGTTTGTATTGACAAAAGTGGTTTGTTTTGACAGACAGTTTATGTGAAAAGCATGATTTGATTTGATAAGTAAATTAAAGTAAGGATGGAAATAATAGTGTGGGGGGATAGGATATCCATGCAAAGTTGGGTACTTAAATAATCAATTCATTTTAGTAGATAAGGCTGGCACTGGTTCTAGTACTCAGAAGAGTTCTTCATCATCAAATCAGTTAACTAAGTAATTTTCTCTCTCAATTTTTGTGACTTCTTTATCTGGACAACTAACTATCATAAAAAGCCAATGTAAAATTAAATGATATTGCACATCAAATTAATTTTTGAGGCGTAAAAATTCTCCCTCTGTATTTTATTTCTTAAACTATTAAAGGTCTACTTTTGAGCCTGGAAACTGTACTCCGGAAATCTTAGGAAAATCTAATATGGCGACGCCCGGCATTAAAAATGGCGGGAATATATCAACAGATTTTGGCGGGAAAATTGAGAGGAAAACAAACATGTACAGTCACGATCCTGCATCGAATCTCTCTTCTTTTTCACAATCAGGTGGAACATACTAACTGAATATGAAGATTTTTTCTGAACACTTATTTTTAATATCTAATTTTTAGACTCAGGAAAGACGAACTCAAGCATCACCAAAACCGTCACTTCAAGCACAGATAAAAAGGTTTAAACTTTTCTTTGAAATCTCCGGGTACTTTTTTTTAAAAGTTAGGAAGCTGAAAGTTTTGTTTAATTGCAGAATTTTTGAAAAATTTCTATCTATGTGAAATAAATTCGAGAGCTTCTTTTTAAGACAATACAAGTCAAGTTAAAAAGCTAATTCTTAACGGTTTTAACTTAAATATTTTTAAGATTTTTCCAACGTCTTTATCATCTGGTGCAACATCGTCGACTCCCCTCCAGACTGCCGGCAAGAGTAATTCCTCATCATATTCTTTCTCAGGATCAGATCTAAAAAAGGCCACCCTCACAAAGGTGAAAACATTAGTTTTATTAGAGAAAAAAGGGGCTGTTTATGAAATTTTCCGACTCATTAAGATTCTGGAAAATATATGTCGAACATTAAATATTCACATTCAATCCCAGGGACCTCCCTGACTCGACATATCACCAAGATGTAAACTTTTAACATTCTAGTTCCAAACAATTAATCACATTCTTCATCCATCTTACAACTATTATCAATTCAATCATTTTATATATAAATTGCAATTTATTATTTACTTTTTCAAGATTACGTAGTTCATTTAATTATCTCTAACATGACCATTAGTCTGAATCATGTTTAACTTTAATTTTTCAATGTAATATTTATTGACATTATACACTATTTCCGGCTTTGTATTCATAAGAATGCATATCTGTAACAAAACAAACCATTGGGGGGCTCCCCTTCATTCATTCATATTTAGCACACAAATGGCCATCCATGAGTGAAAGGGAGCTAAAAATGGTTGCATTGCTCAAACTTGGTCGTGTTGCTGGGATCATTTCGCCAAACTTAAAGATTTAATTCATTAACGGTAAAACAAAAAACAAATCCGGGCTGAAACCCCATCTCTCAGTCGGACTTGAAACTCCAAGCTGTAGAATGGAGCCTAAAGCTTTCCCTAACATTCATGATTTGATTTGATTTAAGGGGTTGTGCAAAAAATTGGAAAATACACAAAGAGACGACTGAAAGATTGGCTTTGACTGTTGAAATTTTTGCTTTCTTAATTACTGGAGAAATAAACGAATTAGAACTGGGCAACTTAATTTCATAATTTTCAAATGAATGTCTGAAATTATTTTTAGATCGGACGATCTTAAAGTCGTCTCTAATTGGCAAATGATTCTTCTTTGTTAAAGGGACAGTAAAGGAAAAATGAAAGGGGATATAGGCTGAAAGCTAATCACTTTAGCTCTTGATCGCGACCCAGATGTTCCTGTCTCGAGAAATTGATATAGAACTGTGTTATAATTATACGAAAATTCATATATGTAAAATTTTGAAAATCAGAAACTTAAATCACGTGACCAGAACTATCACCAATGGCAGAACAGTATACTGGTCACGTGTCTCCGCCTGTATTACGTGACCACTTTACTGCACTGCCATTGGTGGAATTTCTGGTCTAGTAATACGGACGTAAAAATAATATTATGAATGAAATCTACTGAAAATAGAATCAACAAATATAAAAGTAAACCTAAATTACAATTAGCTTTCTCTGGGATATCATCTTTTTTAGATTGGTTGCTGTTTTTCTGAGCATGGTCTGTTTAAACCTACTATTTCTATACGAAATTGTATATATATGCATTTTCGTACAACTTTGAAACAGCTTTATATCAATTCTCGAGTCAGGAACTTCAGATAGGCGTCTCAAGGGTCTCGATGAAAAGCTAAAGTGATTAGCTTTCAGCCTATACCCCCTTTCATTTTTCCTTTACTGTCCCTTTAATATATATTTTGTACATATACATTATACAAGACTTGTGAGCCTCAGTGAACCACGAAAAAACACAAAAAATTGGTCAAGCTAAAATATCCCTTCTATAGCAATTTTTAAAATATTTAGAACTCTCACATTTATTTGGCGAACTGTCCCGTTTGCCTTATAATGTTCGCATTTGTACTGTACAGCTTGCTCTGGCTTGTTAACAATCGGTCCGGTACTTGAAATTGTACAGTGAAGATCAAAGATGAAGCATTCTACTTGGGAAGCCAGCTTTGCCTAGAAACAAAATTATCTTTATAAGAGTTAACCTATTCAACTAAGAACTATTAAACCTAGGTAAGAATATTCCCGTGATTCTACAGAATTCTCCGATCAAAATGTGAGGCAAATCGGTCAAGGGGTTCATGAGTTATATCGGACAAACAAAAAACAAACAGAGATTAAAAACTTTATATTCATAGATGAATTGTATCGTAGGTGTCCCCGTCCCCCCGGTCCAGCCCAGTCCCTACCTACACCCAGTCCCAGAGCATGGCTGTATTGGCCAGGGTCAATCCGAAATCTCAAGTTCCTACTCAAAACTCAGGTATTTAACTGTCTCTCTGTATTTATCTATCTATCAGGGGGGCCGAGCGCCCCATTGAACCAGATAAGAAATGTACTTCCATTCAATTGTGTTATAATATGAGCAAATAGCTCAAAATTTTCTTCGAAGTTTGTATAAACGATAAAAAATAGTTTGTTTAACTATTTTTAAGCAAATTATGTTTTTTTGTATTAAACATCGCCGTTAAAAAATTTAATGGCGTTGATTAAATTTGTCAATTTATTTTCGAAAGTTACACGATGAACCCTAAAAATTTTTTTTATTTGTGTACGGCTGTTTTTTGGAGGATTAATAACAAAACCCAGTTTGAGTAGCACTGAGTTTCTTTACATTGCTCCAAAAAAACTGCTGTACACTTTTTTTCAAACAAGTATATGGGGTTTCCTGGTCAATCTTTCTTTTAATTACTTTTATAATTAGGAAAAGCAGTAACTGCAGCTGCTACGACTAAGCTATCAGGCAGCGAGCTATCCCAGCAGCTTGGTCGACAAGCTGTTCAGCAGCTTGGACGACCAGCTGTTCAGAATCTATTAAAAAACTCGAGTAAATCTGACACTGGCCCGGGGATCTCAGTTAAAAGCATTTACAGTGAGAGTCAAATTGGCATCGCACAACCATATGGACAACAGGTGTCACCTGGCAAACAGGCGTCTAATGGACAGTTTTCTCAGTTTGGACAGATGCCCGCCAACAGTCAACAATTTCCTCCGTTTGATTTTTCCCAGTGGACACCCAAGCAGGTAGAGTTGTTTTATTAGCGCTGGGTCGTCGGGTCGATTAGGTATTGCAGCTTGGAGCATACTTACCCATGGCTTGATTGCTTAGAACCAAGGTTTCCAGGTTGTGTTCAAAGTGACGGATTTGATTGGGAACTAGTTTTATCTAAACACGATTAGCCGGAAGCTACCTTGGTGATCGGGATTTAACGTTTAAGTAAATTCTGTCCAATTTTAGGAGTGAGTCCTAAACACTAATTACTTTTAAAGTAAGACTACATCAGAACAAAAGTGGAAATATGGGCAAGCTGAGAGCTTTTTAAGGAAAAGGAAAAAGTCACTTGAATGGAATAATTAGCTATTTCTAACACTATTATTTTGGTTCGCAGTGTTATAAAGTTTTTGGACAGAAATGTTCTCTTTACCGAGAAGGCGAGAACCTTCGACATTTAGAGAAACTTTATAGCACGTCGTGCCAAAACAATAGTGTGAAAGGTAATTTTATAAAACGTTCGTGTGCTTGTCTTGTTGCAATGGCTATTTTATAAAAAGCAGAAATAAAAAATATCACGTGAATTTCAATTTTATTTTTATTTTTAAATAATTTTGGGAAATATCCAAATTTGTTGATGAAAATCCGGTAACTAATCACAACTTTTAACACGAATTATAATGTACAGCTTATTTAACATTATAGCACGATGATTACTCAGGGGCGTAAATAAGGATTTTCTAGTGGGTTAGTTTAACCTAACATTTTGCGCACATAGCGCGCGGATTTTTTTTACCCCCCCTAGAATTTTTTCCCATTCATGATGTATATCAATTTATGGGTTTTTGCTGGGTTTCATTTCAATTTCCCAATCATTTCTGGGATTAACAAACTCTAATAAATAAAAGGCTTCCTTTACACCCTTCAGCTTTCATCTGACTTAATTTATACCCAAAAGGTTGTCTGTTATTAATTGAGACAAAAATTTGCGGATTTTATAACAAACTTTTGTTGAAGAACATTTTTGAAGATTCAATCATACATAAACCTTCCCTGGGTTCACGTAAGGTCCCCCAAAAATTTGGGCCCGATTGGTTCAGCCGTTTTGGCGTCTATTCAAGGGCCTATACAGGGGGGGGGGGGCAAGGGGACTTTCACACTTTTCAAATCTTAAACATAAAAAATTAGTTTGCTGTTCATTCAGTGCACTAAGAAGATTGTATACTTTGTTAAAGTTGGTTGAGAAAGATTATTTGCGCGAAGCGCCAACATTCTTTAAAAACATTTTTCCTCTTCATGGACATGGAGGATGGAGATCAAGTTTCTAAACGGGCATGTTTATGTCCCCAAGATTCTAGGGGGGGGGGGGGTTCTAAGTAACCTTTGCTATAATATAAAGATTAGAGCTAATTTAACTGTATAGCACGGTTATAATAAAATGTACCATGAATTGAGTACGAATTATTGATTATGCCAAAGTTCCATAAAAAGTTTTTTATATAGAAGATTTTGGATCTTTTTTTTTAAATTTTAAAACAGGGGTATATGTATATTTTCTTGTTTAATAAAACAGTCCTCCCACTATGAAAATAATCCCCCTCAACCTGAATTGTTTTATTTAAAGGGAAAATTTGAATAAATAATCAGGGGAAGATGTATATTTACGTAAAGTTTATATAAAGGGGGAAACCAATCCCCTCCCCCTAAATCTTCAGGGATAATTCATTAAAATACACATACACCCCTCTTCTAATTCTAGTCAGATTATTTATTTATTGATATCTGTACAGTTTCAGATCCTTCAGCAGGCGTCGGGCAATCAACCTTTGGATCTAAATGGTCATAGGTCCGATCAGGTAATTCATTCATGCATCCATTCATTCATCCTCAGGGTTAAATATTTTCAAGAATTGAATTATTTTCTGAGTTTTGGGTGAAGTTTTCAGGGGTGTTTAATTTCTTGAAAAATTATATCCTAAGATGTTAAATATGTTACGTTAGGAGCAGCAACATTGTTTTCGGGTTGTATTCGTTAAAATGAAGAATATTTTTTGAGTAAAAAGTATTAAAATGATATAAATACTGTTGATGTCCAATTATTATCCCCCCCCCCATATCATCAAAAAAATTATTTTGGGGGTGAGGGGGGGGGTATCTCTGGTCCCCTCCCCCTTGTATTTGATTTCTGTACTCTTAATGCAATTACAAGATGCATACCCTAAGAGTAAGGATTTAATATTTTATTCCCCTGATGAGTTGGAATTATGTTTTAAAACATTTAAATCAAAAATAAAACATTAAAAAGTTTATTTCAAAAACATCTTTAGGAGAGAAAACAAATCTCCAAGAACTGAAAAGGATCAATGCAGACCGAATTATAATTTTTTAAATGTGGATTTAAAAGCTATTCAGCATTTATTCAATGCTGAATTTTAAATTTTTGATGCAGGCCTCCATAAGAAGTGGATCTGAAGCTGCAAATGCCGCATCTAATTATGTTCAGGTAATTCAGGTATTCAATCAATCAATCAATCTATTTTTATAAAAGTAATGCTGGTTTGAATTCATGGTTGCTGTAATTTTAATACTGGTATTAACGATCCAGTTCTTTTAGTTCTTAGGATCAATTTATTTTTTACAATAAATTAATGGATTTGATTGGTTGATCGGTTGATTGATTGATCTAGTTGACTGATTGAATGGTTTATTGATTGATTATTTGATTTAATAATTGATTGATTAATTGATTGATTATTTGATTGATTGTTTGATTAATTAATTGATTGATTATTTGTTTGATTATTTGATTGATTAATTGATTGATTATTTGATTGATTATTTGATTGATTGTTTGATTGATTGTTTGATTAATTAATTGATTGATTATTTGATTGATTAATTGATTGAATGATTGATTGATTGATTTTTAGCAAACCTTGTTGAATGGGATAAACGCAGGATCCTACGGTGGAAACCCAGCTAACTGTTCTCCCAATAGACTAACAAACAACAAGAAGCACTAGAGTACCTACTACAAGCTCAATTCAATTTAGTCTGTAACAGGTTTTTCCTACAAGAAAAATAATTGCCAAATATTAAAAGAACAGTGTCAGTGATAAATGGTGATACTCTGTTAAAGGGAATGCCAATGTAATTTCAATTGACCCTACATTTAAAGAGGTGTACGCCTAATACCCTTACAACCTTTGTCAAACCAAAAACTCTTTCTTTATAAAAATTTCCAATTATGGTTTCTTTACAAAAGTGACAAGTGGACAAAGAATGAAATTTACACATTTTAAGATAAAAAATTGACGATTTTAAAGGCTCTGTCGTGAATTGGACATGCAACTCTATAAATGGAGATACTTAAAATTACGTGAACAGTCCCTTTATATGAATCAGGATTATATCTCCAAGTAGATATGTGCCGGGTGCTCCCATCACATGTTTTATTATGATTGTAAAATTATTATTCCAAGGGAAGGGTTTAAAGAAAAAAAATCATGTTTAAAGATATGAGATATTTTCTCATATCGTTGTAGCGTTGTAGCATATTTCTTAGGAATTATTGCCATCATTTTTCTGGGCCAATGGTTAGGCTTTCTCCAAAAAAAATCTTTGATTTGTCATTTATTTAAACTTTTACTTTACAACTTATTTATGACTAGTCAAGATTATTTGGAGGAAAGTTGTCCATAACAAAGAATTATGCAGAGAGACTAAAGGATCCTTGCCCAAGAGGCTGGCAGTAGTAATATCGAAGATTACTAATTGTTTAGAGATCATTTTCAATTATTGAACCAATCAAAATGTTAGGAAACGTTACCTTTTCAAGAATGAGCTTTTTTCTTTAAACCCTTCAGACTTTTTATTCTGAAGTATTCTTCTCTGACTGTATAAAATGATTTATAAAGAATGTCTAGTGATATTAATACAGTGTGTGTATACTGGCCACAGATTTTTATATTAATTTCTTTTAATTCTCTTCATCATGTATTTAGATCAATATTTTTCGTATTATTTTTTTTTTATCAAAATCCGTTTTATTTTTAATACTTAGTGAGGTTATAAATGTTTACTGTCTTCGTAGAGTGCTTAATTGCTTATTGTGGAATAGGTAAATTGATAAACAATAATTCAGGGAGGGATATTTTTTAGAATCAACCCCTAATGCCTCACTCCATGCAAACATTCCTAACTCAAAGGGGAAAATGGTTGAAACCCATCAGAAAATATGAAACTTCTGAGTGTTAAGTTTTCCATCCACCATATACAGGGAAATTGGTTTACCTGATTAGATAATTCGAGTAAACCAGGAGTACATATCCCCCCCTTCTAACATGTTTTATTGCTAAATTGGGGAAAATTGTTATTAAAAGGTAATTTAAATATGAATCCTACATCACAGGAAATAATAAAAAATCGTTTTAATAGTTCTAACTTAAATATAGTTTGCCTCTATCTACCCCTGATCCTAGTTTACAGATTTAAAATGGCGGCTCCCTGCTATCTTTGGACACAAAACCGCTGCCCCTTCTCTGATCTAACCTGTAGTCGACCACATAACAAGGTGTTTACTCTTTGTAGATATAAGACATACAAGCCATGGCGTAAACTTTACATTTATTTTAAGCTTAATCTATGAAAAACCGCCGACTCTTATTTCCGCAATCTCTCATTGAGAGAGAGCAAAATTTGTGTGACTTCTTATTGGTCAAACCTTGGTCGGACCTTGTTAGAGAGCCTAAAGGATCTAAATTAATCTGTCTTACTAAAATATACAAACGAGTGTTTTCTTAACAAGTCAAAGTTCCAATCTTAAAATTATTTGGCAAAAAATAACATTCCACAAAAAAAATCATTCTGTTCGAAAATTTTTATTTTGACAAGATTTATTAAGGTGTTGCAATCATCGTTAAAGAATGAAATGTCCCTATGTAGTAATAAAAATCATTGTCAAAGGATGGAATGTCCCTATGCCTAAAGTGGAAGAGGGGAGATTGTATTGGAATGGTTGGAAATTCTTGCAGGTAGACTTTTAAATTGGTAAAAAGGTAGATTAATAGAATGGTAGGGTTGTAGACTGGTGGATGGGTAAGCTGGTGGACTGGTAGGTGGGTTAGCTGGTAGACTGGTAGGCTGGTAGATGGGTAAGCTGGTAGTGTGGTAGGTGGGTAAGTTGGTAGTGAGGTAGGTGGGTAAGTTGGTAGGCTGGTAGGTGGGTACGCTGGTAGTGTGGTAGCTGGTTAAGTTGGCAGTGAGGTAGGTGGGTAGTGTGGTAGGCTGGTAGGTGGGTAAGTTGGTAGTGTGGTAGGTGGGTTAGGCTGGTAGGTTGGTAAGTTGGTAGTGTGGTAGATGGGTAAGCTGGTAGGTGGGTAAGCTGGTATGCTGGTAGGCTGGTAGGTGGGTAAGTTGGTAGGTTGGTAAGTGGGTAAGTTGGGAGGTTGGTAAGTGGATAAGTTGGTAGTGTGGTAGATGGGTAGGCTGGTAAGTGGGTCAGCTGGTAGGCTTGTAGGTTGGTAGTATAGTAGATAGGTAAGCTGGTAGACTGGTGACTGGGTAGGTTGGCAGACTGTCAAGCTCAAGTGACTTCATGTAGAAGAGAAACATACTTGATAGGCAAAGGTACCATTTGAATCTTTATTTGAGTAAAAATGAAATTGCATGTTTCAACAAGTGTAAATTTTATGATTTTCTAATTTCTCTTGTTTTCTTGGAGAAACTTATAATAGAACTGTATTATCTTCCTCATTGTTACTGTTACTTAGATATAAGCTTAAAGGGTATCTTAACACATAGGGGCTATAATTATATAGACGAAATGTTGCATAAATTATGTTATTAGTCTCTTTCAGAAAATTTAAAATTCATTTAATTTGGTTTCAGGCTTCGGCACTACTATCTAGAGAGGGACAGAGTTTTTATACCAATCAGTCAGGGATAGAAAAATAATTATCTCAAAAATATGTGCATTGTTAAAAAATATTTTATTTTTTAATTACATAGTCTTCTCTCCCTTTCTTTATTGTGTTTGAGATAGTTGTAAGAAGCATTTAATTCATATAGTATTATCTGTATAACCAATTAAGGGGGTCCGATTTTTACAATACCTCTATTGTCACTTGGAATAGGAATGGTCTTGTAAATACAAGCAACGTTTAGAAAAGAGATTTTTCTGCAAATTACATCAGAAATGGTATCAAAAGATTCATGATGAAACACTGAAATAAGAAACGTTGAAATCATGAAAATCTGTTAAAAATTTAACTAGTTTATTGGTGTTTTCAATCAGTCCTTTTAGTTTTGAAAATTGGTGAGGTCATCCCTGATTTGATATTGGGGTCGATGTTAAGTACAAATTGTAATTCTAATTAGTTTTGAAACTAATGTACAACTAATCTATTTAGTCCACAGAATTGTAGTACATTTGTCGATTTTGTAGATTTGTAGAACTCATTTAATATGTCTCCGTTCGGGGGTTTTAACTCGTAAAAAAATATTTTTTTTTATTACTCCTGTAGAGTCAGCAGAATATACAGAGCAGCCTAGCTTTCTCCAGCCCTCTGGTGGAGAGAGTTTGTACTGTAAAGGAATCCTTTCGTCGGGTTGAGGTCAGGACTGGACTGGACTGGACTGGACTGGACTGGACCGGACTGGACCGGACCGGACCGGACCGGACCGGACTGGACTGGACTGGACCGGACCGGACCGGACCGGACTGGACTGTTGAATTTATTACATCGATACAATTGAATTGAAGTGGAGTCTACCCAGATGAAAAGCATTTGAGTCTTTGACGCGAATTAAAATTTTCCTCACAACTTTGCAACTTGATGGTGTAAAGACAGTTTTTTTTGATTAGATTGATATTACAATAGTTCTTTTTGATTTGATTGATATTGAGACAGTTCTTTTTGATTGGATTGATATTAAGACAGTTCTTTTTGATTAGATTGATATTAAGACAGAACTTTTTGATTTTATTGATATTGAGACAGTTCTTTTTGATTAGATTGATATCAAGGTAAGGCTTTCATTGGATTGATATTAAGATAGGACTTTGATATATTGATATTAAGTCAATTCTTTTTGATTAGATTGATATTTAGATAGGTCTTTTTGGTTAGATTGATATTAAGACAGTTCTTTTTGATTAGATTGATATTGAGACAGGGAGACGAAGAAGTTTTGAAGAGACCAAAGTGACTGAAATTATTGATATATCCGGAAAGGAAAACACTCCAGGTATAAAGCAGCATAGTGAGATTCTACGCAGCATGACATACGCTTGTTTTCTAGCAGGGGTGTTGATTACTTGATGTTTAGGAGTGGGTGAGGGGGGGGGGGTGGTCAGAGGAAAATTGTAAACTTTGAATATTTAACCTTATCACTAGTTGCAGTCAAGAAATGCACGAGATCTGACCCAGAAGGTATTCTATCCAAGAAGTTGTTCTCTGCCCCTGAACCAGAAAATGAAGAGAATCCAGGTAAAACAAGTCCCAACACCCCGGTCACCCCTTTCCCCCTTTTCCTGTCTGGGCTAGTTGGAACCCCCTCCCTCTTGCGTCTGATCATTCTGCTATGTGTACAGAGCTGAAAACTTTAGAATGGTGGATATCAAGATTAAAGATTAATTACAGTGGCGGACATAAGGGGGGTTATTGGGGTTATTAACCCCCCCCCCCTAGAATCCTGGGGGTAAATACCCCCCCAGAATTCTAGGGGTAATTACCCCTGAATATATATTCAGGCCCTGAACAGCAGGGGTTACTCCATTTGCTACCTCTACAAGTAACAGTTCCAGTTGCCTTGACCCCTCCCCTTCAAAAAAAACAAAAAAAAAAACATTCCCTATTGATTAGTCTGCACTTGTGTAAAGACGACTATTTTCATGATAGTAAAAGTTTTTGCGGCATTTTGCAGATGCCTAAACAGTCAGTAAACTTTTACTTCGGTTACTTCAGTAAAGTTCACTCACACACAACTGGTTATAATAAAGAATATATATATTATGAGTTAATTTCCTAAAATACGATTTTTGGACCCCCCCCTCCTCCTCCTTTTGTACATGGATATCATATCATATGTAAGACATGGACATAATCATATAATTGTCCATGTTGAAGTAGCGCCCGGCCCCCTAGCCTTTCCTAGCCATGGTGCTCGACCCCTAGCCAGTCCTAGCCGCAGCGCTTGGCCCCTGCCCTGTAGCATGTCCTAGCAGCACTCAGCCCAGAAAGTGTCTTAACCTAACCTAACCCTAAATATATACTAATTTTACTGAAAAAGTGGTCATACATACAAAATTGATTGGAGGGGGGGGGGGGAGAGCGGTATGGTAAAAATTTTACCGTACCCTTTAACTTTTGAAAAAACCGGATTTGATTTCTGGTGTTGATGGTGTCATATCAATTGAACTAAACATGGATTGAACGAGCATAAGTTTTGGATTAATGTTTATTAAGACTAACGATTAAAATGACAAAATGTTTTTTAATTATTTTATATTAACATGAATAAATTTATATTCAAGTTTAAATGCTCTAAAAGCCAGTTTGTTAACAGCTGACTTTAATTCAATCGGATTCCAATCGATATAATAGCATTGTATCTGTAATTGTTCTCAAACGTAACTTTTATACATTAGAAATATCCAAAAAGAGGATTAAGAAGAAAATCAATGTGTACATGGAATAATTGGATAAAGCGATCGTAACAGAAAATGAAATTTCGTAAGAAACGTAATATGGTTTGTCGGGAAGGAAATCTCATTCTGAAGTTTTCAGCTCTGTTCAATTATTATTCCGCCGTGGAGGTCGCTGAGTCTGGAGAAAGCTGAGAGAAAACAGGATCCTATAATCTACGTGCTTTCTTTTAAAGACCACATTTATATACTTAATGCCAGCGCCATCTTGCTTTAAACATGTTTTTAAAATCTACATTTCCCTAATTCCGCGTGTACTTAAGTACACTTATACATATATATATATAGTTGTTTTATATCAGTTGAAACGCAACAATCTTCTTATAACATTTTATTCATAAACAAATTGTTTCATGCTTTTATGCAATCATCAGTATGAATATATATGAATAATCAGTATATAGTTGTTTTATGTTTTTTTTTTCTGAAAATTTAAACAGTGGTTAAACATAACTTAGCAATGTCCTAGGACGCTAATTTTTTGCATTCAAACTTACTAATATGTATCGTAATTGCAAAGTGCAATTTCAATAAGATTGGAGCAAATTTGCGCGTGCGCGCTTTTTGTTAAAAATACGACTTTTTCACGTTTGCTCATGCTTTACACCGTTAAATGAACTTTAAATTAAATCAGGACGCGATTCCACAAGAAATCCCTAAAAACCTTGCGCCCTAGCGCGCGCGCAATCAAGACAAATAAAAAAGTATTTTTTAATTCAAGTTTAGCATTGTCCTAGGACGTTTATATTTTGCATCCGAACTCACTAATATGTATTGTAACTGCAAAATACAATTACAATAAGATCGGAGCAAATATGTGTTGATAGTTATCCTCCTGATTTTGATAGTTATCCTCTTGATTTTGATAGTTATCCTCTTGATTTTGATAGTTATCCTTCTGATTTTGATAGTTATCCTCCTGATTTTGATAGTTATCCTCCTGATTTTGATAGTTTTCCGATTTTGTTAGTTATCCTCTTGATTTTGATAGTTATCCTCCTGATTTTGATACTTATCCTCTTGATTTTGATAGTTATCCTTCTGATTTTGATAGTTATCCTCCTGATTTTGATAGTTATCCTACTAAATTTGATTTTTTCTCCTACTGGTAAAAACTCCAAATGGAAATGATTATTCTATAAACCATTTGCTCGCACAGAATAAAAAATTTAAATACAAAAAAATATCTGTTTATTGGGTGAAAATATGTTTGATATAAGAGATCCACTGATTATTAAATCTGGACTTCTGAATCCCTGAATTGTTATTTTGCAATGTTAAAGGTTCTTCAAGTCCATATGAATTTCTGTTCAATTTCCTAGTCTTTTCCCCCTACATTTACAATTATTTCCTTTTTGAAATTCATAAGTTTTTTAAAAAAAAATAATTTACATCTTTCTTATTTCTGTTCAGGATTGTGTTTAGTTTGTAGAAAAGTATTCAAAGGAAAACGGGGACTGCAGTCGCATAAAAGGTAAACTGAAGTTACAACTTTTGAGTTGTGAATCTCGAGATTTAGCATTAATTTCCATTTTATGCAGATCTATAGATTGATTTAATTCCTACATGATATCCCGTAATGGTCATACTCTGCAGGGTTAACTTTAAGTTTAACTCAAAAGTTCCAACCTTTAAACTAAAAAGTTGAAATATTTTAATTTGATTCATAATTATATAAATATATTTTCTATCAAAAAAAGATCAAGATTGATATTCGATTTTTGGGTTTATTAGTTATTTATATATCCTTGGGGTACAGTTTATTTTAAGCCTGAGGTAGGCTAGTAGGGTAGAAACCAGAAAGCTGTGTAATATTTTAAGCCTGGGGTAGGGTAGTAGGGTAGAAACCAGAAAACTGTGTAATATTTTAAGCCTGAGGTAGGGTAGTAGGGTAGAAACCAGAAAACTGTGTATTTTAAGCCTGGGGTAGGGTAGTAGGGTAGACACCAGAAAACTGTGTAATATTTTGAGCCTGAGGTAAGGTAGTAGGGTAGAAACCAGAAAACTGTGTAATATTTTAAGCCTGGGGTAGGGTAGTAGGGTAGAAACCAGAAAACTGTAATATTTTGAGCCTGAGGAGGGTAGTAGGGTAGAAACCAGAAAACTGTGTAATATTTGTCGTCTTTGTTTCCCCTATTTACCGTGGCAATTTTTGGGTTTATTAGTTAGTTATATATCCTTGGGGTACAGTTTATTTTAAGCATGAGGTAGGCTAGTAGGGTAGAAACCAGAAAGCTGTGTAATATTTTAAGCCTGGGGTAGGGTAGTAGGGTAGACACCAGAAAACTGTGTAATATTTTGAGCCTGAGGTAAGGTAGTAGGGTAGAAACCAGAAAACTGTGTAATATTTTAAGCCTGAGGTAGGGTAGTAGGGTAGAAACCAGAAAACTGTGTAATATTTTAAGCCTAAGGTAGGGTAGTAGGGTAGAAACCAGAAAACTGTGTAATATTTTGAGCCTGAGGAGGGTAGTAGGGTAGAAACCAGAAAACTGTGTAATATTTGTCGTCTTTGTTTCCCCTTTTTACCGTTGCAATTTTTGCTAAGGATTTGTCTATTTTTCTTTGTCATAACAGACAGCTTTTATTAATATGCATTACTTATTTGAGACGAATTATTTCCTAGTTTAAAAAAGTTCAAAAGACGACCATAATTTAATTGTGTTTTTTCTTGATCCAAAGAGTTATAATTGTCCAGATCCGGTTCCAGGGAGCTACAATGTTGCATATCCGGATCCAAAGAGTCATAATTGTCCGAATCCGGATCTAGAGAGCTATGGTGTTGCATATCCTGATCCAAACGGTTATAATTGTCCGGATCCGGATTTATGTAGCTATACAGTGTTGCGGATCCGGATCAGGATCGAGGATCCGATTCCAGCGATCAATGATATGGCGGATCCGGATCTAGAGAGTTATGATTTTTCGGGTGATAAAATGTTCCGGGTTCGAACACGCTTTAGTTTACAGATTTTTTTTCTAGTTCTAGGGTAAAATGTGAAGCCCCTGTCACCCCCCGTAAACCAGCTTTAGAGGATACAGTCTCAACACACACTCAACAGAATGATAGCATCATTATTATAGATTAAAGGGACTGTTACTCTCAAAGAAAGTGTATCCTACCTTTAAAATTTGGATTTAAAATTGGTCAATTCTACGACGTAGGATACATATTTTTCTGAAAATAATATAAGTAATTATTCCACACAAGCGTTTTTTGTTCTGCAGAAAAAATTAATTTTAGTATTTTGTAAAGATTTAATATAAAATATATAGCTGTTCAGGGGTGGATACATGATTTAAGTGAGGTGGGTGCTAGATTTATTTTGGAACAAACAAAAATCCAGAAATAGAAACCAAATCTCAAATAGAAAAATCTGTTTTAAGATAGATATTTTTTTCTGTTTTGCACTAGGTTTTCTTTCCGTTAAGTAATATTGAGAAGCTATTTTAAAAACGCTTCCCCCCCTGAATCCATCAAGGAGGTGCAAAGGTCCTGCCGACCCCTGTAACCGCCCCTGTAGCTGTTTAACTTTATGTTCAAAATTATAGTTAAATAAAAATCACGACACTGAACAATCCCTGGAGAGCTACGCATGCTTTTGGTGGACTAATGTTTTCACGCTTACATTATTTTTTCGAATTCCGTTTCTAAAATCCTTCATTTATAGTTTCATAGGAATCTGCACTTAAAAGCAAAAGCGCGTTTATTACAATAAGCAGTTGCTCAGTAACTAAATATTTATGAATGGTTTGACAAGTTCCGTTTTATTTGTTCCAAGAGCTAATTTTTGAAATTATTTGTCATGTGATCTTTCTTTCATTAGTTATTACAACTGAACGTAAAATTTCGATTATGTTTTAATTAACAGGAATCGTGTTCCTTTAAGAAGCCATTTAGTGCAAATTTTAATTTGAAGCATATTTGAAATGTAAATGGACTCCTACATTTTTGAGAATATGGGACATCGATGTGCCTGAAAATTTCTTGATGACGAATATTAAAAAAACATAAAATTCCAAAAAAAAATTATTTTAAAATTTTGATAAGCTTTGTAAAACTTAATTTACTTTCAATATCTTAAATATCTTTTATTCCATTAAAAGTGAAGAAAATGTTTGTCTTACGAAAATGTGATATTTTAGGCTTAGCCATTGATCTCGAAAGATTACAAAATTTTTATATATTTTTGTAACAACCGACAAAGATATGTATTAGATATTTTCCTATATTTGATGCCAATAAAAACTTATAAATATATAATATATACATTGTACTCATGAGATTGAGAGCTGAAACTGTAATTAGAAAACGGGTTGCGAAGCCTATTCATAAAAATGCCATTTTTTGGCGTACTCTTAAGCTTTGAAAATATACTGGGGTAGAAGATGATGAATTAGGAATTATTCCGAAATATTACAAAAAATTTGAAGAAAAAAAATGAATTTTTTTTATTTGGCCTTCTTCATCTCATGCTTCCCTTGAGTGTCCACACAAAAAATTTAGCACATCTGGTCTAGCCGCTTGGCCGGCTATAGGGAACATATATACGGATGTCTTGTTTTATTATATGGATACCCTGCCGATCACACTGGCTTGGCCGAAGAATTAGTGGGATCTAGTTGAAATTGCAATTTCGTTAAACATTTTCTAGCTGTGAGATGCAATTTCTCGGGCTAGCAAATGTTCATCAAATCCATCAAATGTTTATATTACCAAAGATGTTTTTTCGAGCTTTGTGTCCTATTAACATCTATAGAATGTATTGAATTTTTCGCAACTGAGGTTTTACGATGTTGTATTTTTCTAAAATCTTCGAGACATGATTCGAGAAAATGCGGATGTTTGAGTTGCTTTTAAACGGTGCTTAGGATCCATTTAATTTTGATGCGGATCCTGGTTCCGCACTGGAAAATAAGATTTACTGAATTTTTTTAACAAAAATTTCAAATTTTTTGTTTTATTCTTTTTGCATATTTTTATCCTAAAACCTGATGAACCATTCAGAAATGAGGAAATTTTTATAATCTCTTTTTTTCAGAAGTTCAGATTTTGGTTTTAGGAGTAAAAAAGGTTTTTTTTTGTAGTTTTTAGGTGATATTTTACCTCTTGGATCCGGATCCGTGGATCCTCATATTTTTGTGGATCCGGATCTGTATCCAGGAAGCCAAAATCTTGCGGATCCAACGCATCCGGATCCTAAGCACTGCTCATAAAAATATGTTTTTCTATGGTTCCAGTATCTTCTAGGAAATTTGTTGATCAACGAAATGTAATCGACCCACAATTTGTACATACAAGGTTGCCCTCCCATGAGAAACTTCTTAAAAGGTGCATGAAAATGTTCGCAAATTATATGCAGTAGAGTACATTAATACAATATGTTCCCTAGACTATCCATTTCAATTTCGATTTTTTTAAAGGTGTTAAATAAACTTTAAAAAATGAATTAGGTGAAAGTCTATGTCTATGTGAAAGGATCATGGGCCAATTATGAAACCAGCCTATTTCATAATTTGGTTTAATATTAATTTTAGATTTTCTATAAAATGATGTTTCAGGGCCCAATAGGTTATATGGCACAAATATGTGAATGTACACCTCAGTACACCTGCAGTATGGAAACAGTACAACAAAATGGTCGTTTTACGCTTTTTCTAGTAAATTCCACTCTAATATATATTTGTTGACGGAAAACAGCAACACGCTAGACAAATCAGGATAATAGGCCAGTTAGGATTCTGGTGGGGGATATTTATTTTCCCCGGACGATTCTTTCCCGATAGGCCGCACAAAATACACACAACAGAGTAACCCCGTCTCAGAAATTCGATAACAAAATCTTTATTTCCTAAAAAATAACATAAATTATAGGTCATGTTTAATTGTNCATGTAACAACTTCGTACACGTCCGACCGCAAATAACGTTACAAACTCGGCATTGCGTTCACCAGTATTTCTTACGACCACCGTTCGTCCAAAATTGGTTTCATAAATTTAAAAATATATTTGAATTTTGAGACACGACATGTTGTTTATAATGGTTTTAAATATCTTATCCTGTTATTAGAAGAACATATTACGAAGTACAATAGTCATAAATCAATTCATGGAAATTGTTGGTTTACAATCACTGAAGCAAATCAAAGCCAATTGCTATGTTCCCTTCTATAAAATGTTAATTTTTAGTTGTAGATCTAAAAGTTGAAATATAGGAGTAAAATAAGAAAACCTAATATGCAGACAAAAAGCTGGTGTGGTCCGGTCAAAGCATATTTTTCGTTCTTTGCCTAGTTCGTTTTATTTTTCAAACCAAATGTTTAAACAAAAAAAGATCAAACCTTATTGAGTAACATATAACGGTGCCTAAATTTGAATAAAAAAGTGACTTTAGAAAAAATACATTTGAAAATACAGTAGCAATTCGCCCGGACGAAAAAGTATTAGTGAGTTGTGACGTCATCTATGGTGCAGACGAATAAAATGGAGGGTCAACCGAAGTTGTCCCTTAAGTCTGATGCACAAAAAGCTTATGCAGCTGAACGCATAAAAAAACAATTGCTAAAACACCGTTGGAGACACAGATATTTTAGATAACACTTAATGGAAAAAGGCATTATATAATTTTTTTTTGGACTGTTAGTGGAGTTAGTGTGATTTGAAGTGACATGCATACAACGGTACAAGAAATAAACACGTTAAGTTAGACAACAACGCAATCTTCCATATTATTGGACATGTTAAAGTTTTAAGTGTTCCATTGTAGGCATTGCTATCTTTGCACGGAGGGTCACTTAAACATTACCCAAGCAGTCCCTTGGAATAAAAGATATCAATCAATGTCATCATTTTATTACAATAAGGTGATGTATTTAATAAAGCAAATTTTACAAAGAAATATTAATAGAATTAAAATGTAAAAACAAATATAGTATAATATCTGGAAAACCGGTTGTGTGAGGGGTACCGGGAAAATTCGTTCTTGACAAAAATAAAAATAAAGTTTATTTTGGAATGATTTTAAAACCAACTCTTAAATTGTAAAAATTAAGATTGGTTTTAGTTAAAGTTCAAATGTTTGTAAGAGAAATAAGACTGTAAAAGCTCAGGCCTTGCTAGTTGTACGATTTTTAAAAATCATTTTGTACAGTGTACACATTATGGTGAGAAAAAGCAGAAAGTGTACATTTGTACAACTTTACAACGTGTTTACATCGAATGGGGGGGGGGGGGGAGAGTACCGACTGGTTTAGAACTGGTTTACATCTTAGAGGGGGAAGGCGCGGACCACTTGTACCGGCCAGTGTACAAGAAATTTGCTTTGGTTGCCATCTCATCAGCTTCCTTCGGTCCTCGAGTACCGTACTTGTACTAAACATTACATTTATTAAAAAAAATAAAATATAATAAAAAAAATTAAATTTAAAACACAGTTATAAATAAAAGTATGAAATTAAAAACACAACATTAAAAATATGAATAAAAAAACTTTTAAAAAAGTATGAAATAAAAACACTTTACCAGAATAGGAGCAGGTTTTTCTTCCTCTATTTTGTGAAGAAGCGGGGTAAATATTCTCCAAGCTTCGGCTAGCTCATCACTCCTACAATCAAAAATACTTAAAAAGGAACATTAGACATCTTTTTCCTAGCTGAAAATCAACTTATTCTGACAATTCACTCTATTGTTTCAAATGCGGAAATGCGCAAATAATCAAAATAAAGAAAATTGTGGATGTCTCATGCATTCTTTAAGTGGTACCACTCTTATAACAGGAAAGTAACTTAAACCTACAGTCTCTTAAAGTAAAAATCATGAGCGGATAAATTTGGCAACTTTTTGGGCCAAGAAACATCTCCGAACGTTGTGCGGGTAAAGAATATAGAGTGAAAAAAGATCAGCAGAATGATAACAAATTCTACTGATAATGTTAAATGTGTTGTGATTATGTATCTATATTAAAACCTATTAAAAAACTCTATTAAACCTTAAAAACTTGTATGATATTTATCATTAAGTAATTGCATTTCCTCTAACCTGACAAAGTGCATCTGAGATCCAACAAAAACATCAAGGATCAACCGTTCATAAGCCTGAAAATAAAACCTAATTTTTTATTCGTAAAAAAGTGCACATTAAATCTAAAATATGCAAATATTATTCTCATAACTAGAAGATTTGCTTCCCCCTACCAAAAAAAGACAACCCTTAAGAATCGTTGCCTTGTCCCCCTCGTTTAACTTTAATCAGAATCCTCGTGTCGGTCAACTATATAACCTTAGAAATTGCTGCCCCACCCTCGAATTACTAAAAAAAAATCCGCCTCCCAAACCTCGTGATTACCTCTGGTAGCCTAGCTTCCTTGTATCTTGACTTGTAAGTAAGATCTAGTTCAGTTTCCTCGAGGTTAAACGACATCCCCGGGGTCTTAGTCATAACCTAAATCAATCAATCAATTAGTCAATAATTTAACTATTTAATCAATCAATTAAGAAATGATCAATGACTACTATCAAAATACATTTGATCAATTATTTTTCATTAGCTATTGTAAGATCACTTTAATTTAAAAATTTGGAATCTTAAAAATCAATTTTAAAAAATCACCTTCACATACACACTCTCATTCGGCTGAACCCTAAACAAAATATTTGAAAAAATAAAACTTAAAAAATATCCAACAAAAATACCCTAAAAATATTGTAAACAGGAAAATAAAGAAAATGTAATTGAATGTGTGAATAATAATAACGGAATCTCTTATATTTAAATGAAATTCATTAAAATACGTGCTATACATTTGACAAAAGGTGATTTCAAATAAAACCTTACCTGATAACTAGCTCATTGCGTACAGTTGAACCATTAAATATATCTCCAGGTACGTCCTTATACTGTATACGAACCTATAATTAATTATTGGAAATTAAACTATAAATTAAAATTTTTAAAGAAAAAGCAAAGCTTTGGCCATCTACAGTGAGGCCCATAAAACTATGGAATAGGAAGACGACATTAAAGAAACATTGTGTGTATTTGATATTTTCACCAGAAGATTAAACTTATTAAGTTAAATGGGTCTGTGTTCACTGCGCAATTTCTACATTTCATGATCATTGGAATTTTTAAGAAAATAACATGAGTCTTAACAGTTGGCTTCCTACTTCACAGTTATATGGATCTCATTGTCTTATTGTGGCATGAATTAATTTCTTTATTAAGAATTGGACTCAAATCACATCTATTATTTCGCATTGTAACAAATTTGAACTTACTGTTTTGAATTCATCTGTTTATAAATTATATTTAACTAAATATTGAGAACTTGCGTTAATATTCAAAGATTTGTCGACTCCTTCAGGTTTACTACAAAATAAAGTTGATGTAAGATAAAAGGTTTTACTTCCAATTTTTCATAATATGATGTGTCAGAATTTACTTTTCATGTGAAAATAAACTTCACTTTGTTGTAAGTTGTTGGTATTTAGAAACTTTTCATTTTACTGCAGTGAGGATGCTATCCTGTTTGAACTACCGCCGTTTGAACTATTTTTATTTGAACTAGCCTGTCCTAACCGCAGCGCTCGGTCCAGAAATTGGCCTAACCTAACCTAACCCTAAAAAATACATATCATTTGAACTATATTGTTTGATTTATTTGAACTAATAGCTGCAGCGCTCGGCCCCCTAGCCGCAGCGCTTGGGCCAGAAATAGTCTTAGCCTAACCTTACCCGAATTATTACACACGTTTAAACTATTTTTTGGTTAACTCAAACTATTTTTGTGTTAGTTTGAAATATTTCTTAGTAATTTGTTAATCTATATCTTTAATTGTATGACCTAATTTCATGAATTATAACAAAATTTTAAAAAAATGAATTGACAGAAAAATAATTGAAATGTGTTGATTTGAACTACAAGATCGTGACGTCAAGTCAGTAGTTCAAACGAACAATAGTTCAAACGGCGGTAGTTCAAACAGGTATCCAACTCAGTGAGAAACAAAAAACTCCAGGACAAAAAGACGACATTTAAACTCTAGTTATGACTTTAAATAGACAATACTTTTGAATGTCTTTTTCCTCATATTGTATTAGATATTAAAGACTTTTTGCAGTTTGTTTCTTTAAAAAAACTCATATATATATTTTACTGTGAAATCAATTTTACTAGAATATAACTGTCATACAAAAAATGTTATTAGTCTCTTTAGTATCAAATTATGGAAGAATACATTTTAAACTATTCACCAACTGTCATGTTTTGTGGGACACCCTGTATATGAAACTATTTCTTTAAGTTCTGACAAATTGATTTTAAACTTAAAAATTCTGACCTCAGCTTTTCTCTCGTTCAAGGCTTTTCCACATCTGAGAATAAAGGGTACCCCGTCCCATCTCTCATTCCTAGAGAAATAATACTATTTTATTTTTCTATTTTTAACGGGACAAAGTAATTTTAAGGGATCCTTCATTTTAAGAGGAGCCTGGAGCATGTCTTATTCAAGACGGTGACGTCAAATTCCTTTGTCTGATAAAAAGTGATGAATATTTATTCCTGCTTTTTATCTAACAATATATTATTATTAATATTATTAACATTTAATTTGATACAACGAAAACAGGGCTGAGATCCTCCACTAGTGGTTCAGATCTGGCCTGAATTTGTTTAGGATTCAATGTTAATGCCAGAAATGCGTGGATACTAGGGGGAAACTAAAGGGGGTGCTTCAAAAGCACTTACAGAGTACGATACACACCTCCGCAGAGTTTGCTTATTTTATTTAAGTGAGGTTTACAGAATCCTAATTAATTTGAATCTTTAAAAAGATTAACGGAATGCTATTGATACAACTTTTTTATGTTTCCTTTTATAAAGAAAATTATCCAATTTTAAATCTTAGCTTTGCATTATTCCAATTAAGATAAAAACGGACTCCAAGAATTAAATATTCTATTGTAAAGAAGAAAATGTCGTCTTTTACTTAATCTTAAGATGTGCCGCGGCAAATGTTGGACACGTGGAACCGGCGGGAACCTAAAAGTAAAAAAGTCAGATTGTTCATAAGCAGTTTTAAATATATTACCTTTTTAAAGTCATAATTTGAATCATTTAATTGCAATTTAATGTTTATCCAATGAACTTGATTTAATATTTTTACTAAACATTAAAAATAGTTTACCGTGGGGTCGTCTAAATAGCCGAGTCTAGCATCTTCATCCGCTCCCTCGGGATTGCCCTAGCGGAAAAATTCAGAATTAAAGGGATTGTTTAGATAATTGGACAATAAGGAAACTACAAGACAAGAGGGTTCTCATTATTTCTGAAAGCTTATGTTTCAGGTCACATTTATAAGAGAATTTTAGTTTTCGCTGTTAGACACATTCTAGTTTTAACAGTGCTCACTATAATAAAGTGGAATAGGAAGTCGTCTGTTTGATCAAAAATTTAAAAAAGACTTGTTTGCACCTGGTATTGTCCTAGGACCACGTCATCTAGAGAAAGGACTTCAACTGCCTTCAAAACTTTCACCTTCTCGTCCCTAAAAAATGAATAAAAAACTATTTTTGACGAAAAAAAATGGTTTAGAAAGGAACAGATATCATACTTGAAAATGTAGTTCTTCCCTTCAATTGTTACTCACAAAAAAGATTTAATATAACTCGAACCAAGATGTGCACACTCTCATACAAAAAGTATAGGTCACTTGGTGAGGTAACCCAAAGCGCAAGCAGTTTCGACGCTTTCTCAATATTTGATTAGTTGTGTAAAAAGACGACTGTATAGAAGTCAGTCTTGATTCTTACATACAGAGTTCCCTGCAGCTTTAAATTAAATTTTTCTTTGTCAAATCATTTTATCATTGATAAACTACATTGAAAGCATAAAGCCTTTCAACGCTAAAGGGAGAGACTAGCTAGATATGGTAGTTGAGCTGAGAGTGCACAACTAAAGGAAACATTTCAAATATTTTATACCTATAAAATGTGTATTATTGCTGAATAAGAGCGCAAATTATCAGTTCAACCACCATCTTACCCGGACGTACTTTGCTTGATTTAGTTTAGCGTGTCCTATACCTAATATCATCAGGTGATGTGGTGACCGGTTTCTCCATAGCTGTCAGGCAAAGAATCTGCAGAAGATGATTCTGCATAACATCCCTGAAATATTGCAAATATAATCTTTTGAAAACAAGGATAACAATGTAAAAGCAGGGATAAATCCAGAGCAGCAGATACAATTGTTGGAATCATGATTGGTAAAAATGCAGTTATTGGTACAATCATTTTCAAGTTAACGCCACTCAACTTTACTTTCACGAAATTTTAGGGAAAATGTCTTAAAATGACTCTGAAGACCAAAATAAACAGATGCACTCTTTAAAATAACAATTAGAAATTAGAAATTAGAAATTAGAAATTAGAAATTAGAAAAAATAAACTTATCACTCGCGTCAAACTCTAATTTTCCTATCACTTATATATCTTTGTAACCTGGGGATGTACGTACGCCTTAGATAATTCAAAGGTCTCCGACAGCAATTTACAATAAGACAAAGCTGTCATGTAAGAAAGCTTAGTAGAAATCAGAAGTGAAAAAGAAAGTTTTCCTCTTTGTTTTTATTTAAACGACGGCAACTGTGCAATCAGTAATATTGCTTGTGCGAACAATTCCACGCATTAAGATTAAAACCGCAAGAATTTCATTTCATTTTTTTTAAAAACATTTTCCAAAAATTTCTGAAGGAACTGAGTTTATGCCACAAACTCACATTTTCTAATCCTCGCATCTTTGCAACCTGATGGTGTAAACCTATTATATTTCGAATTTTTATCATTTGATGTACTATGATTAATATTTTAAAACAGCAAAGGTCTGTGACTTTAGGTTGCACAATGCACATATATAGGGATTAGAAAATCAGATTTTGTGGCAAAAACTCATTTCCTTTTCTGACCTGATAATCCCGAATTCATCAAAGTATCCTCCCCTACCCTGAGTTCCAAAAGGTTCCTTGAAGGTAATTACAACGCTAGCAATATTGTCCCTAAACAAAAACAGTGAACCAGAAAACAGTGGAATATCTTCTAGTTTTTTATTTTTTTTATTTGCAATACCATAATCCAAAATTCAGGCCATTTTTTTGTTCGTGTATTGTATAAATCACCACATACTATGTGGTATCATAAAACCCAGTCGGAAGTTAATTTTCAGGAAGAAAAAACGAAGCTATCTATAAAATTAATAAAAGTTGTAAGTATAAACACATAATTTTTCAAAGACACAATGTATGCATATAAATATAAAATATTAAAATATCTCTATTAAAAAGCAGTCTTACAAAATGAAAAATAAATGTTGCTAAAAAAATTTAATAAGTAAATTTTAAAAATTTTTAATAAATTTATTTTTTTAAATAAATCAAAAAAGTTTTTTACCTGTTCCAAGTAGGAGCAAAGATCATGTTACCAAACCTGAAATCAAATTATACACTGTAAATTTAGAAATTTAGAAAAATTGATATTCCAATGCGAGTTATAATATTTTTTTTTATTTCGTCAATAATTATTGCGGCAACTGAATAAGTAATATATTCTTTATTTGTTTATTAAAAAAAACTGTTATAAATAGAAAAAAATTCGTTTTTTAAATTATTATTTCAAAAATATTGATAAACTAGCTGAAAGGCCCGGCGTTTTTTTAGCCTGTAGCCACCTATGCCCACAAAATACCTGGGTGCTTAACTTCGTAAAGCGTTTTAAAGTGGTGTTATATAAAGCGAGTAAAATCACACCATTTTAAACCATTTAAAAAACTGGTATTGGTGTAATGACGCACGGATTAAATCCGTTTTAAAATACTCGGGTAAAAACTACGGTTAAAAAACGAATTTATCTCTACTTTAAACCTTAAAAAAAGAAGATTTTAATCCGTTTAAAACCTTATCTATATCTGCTGAAAACACTCTGTAAAACCGTCTTAAAGACGTTTTCAGTACACGGTTTTTATCCGGGTTCTGGTTTTAAAATAATCGACTTTTACCCTGATTTAACTCCGCTTTGTGTTAGCTGGGATACAGTACATACAGTACAGTACAGTATAGTACAGTACAGTACAGTACAGTACAGTTCAGTACAATACAGTGATGTTCAGTAATTTACAGTAATGTTCAGTAATTTACAGTACAGTACTGTATAGTACAGTACTGTACAGTACAGTGCAATATACCTGTAAAGCTGGTCTTCTGCGAATAGTTTCATCAGATGATTACTGAGATCGGCAGAACTAGCGGAATCCTAAAGTATATGCAATGGTATCCAAAATACAGTTGTATTTAGAATACAGTTGTATCCAGAATACAGTTGTATCCAGAATACAGTTGTAACTAGAATTCAGTGGTATCCAGAATAAAGTGGCATCCAGAATACAGTAGTATACAGAATACAGTGGTGTCCAAATTACAAATAATTGCTAATTTATTCATGTCTAATGTTTTATTAATCACCTTGCCGAATGGTTTCTCTACAATTACTCTAGTCCAACCCTTTGTTGACATACAGGCCTCCTGTAGTACAGTTACGTTTATGTACAGTGGTAAATTTAAAATAGTTAAATAATTGTCGTTTTTTTCTTTGATTTTAGTCAAAAAATGATAGGTTTTAAAAATTTGAAAATAATGTATGATTAATTTGTGCATTGTACATCTTCAGAAATATATTAATTCCTTTCTAAAACCTTATTTTAAGAAATAAGTAGAAGACGACAATAGTTCCAAAATTTCTTGATACAATAAGGCAGATTTGGAAAAAACAAAACGAACAAATTTTTATATTTTTTTTTATTTAAAACATTTCTTTGAACTCGAATGAAACTTTTTATATTTGTTTATTTTGGTTAAAAAAAGAACAATTACCTTTAGCATAGATGTTACTGGTTTGAAAACTGAGGGAGGGAGTGCCAGATAGAAAAGTCTAAAAAAAAAATTTGACATGAAAAAAGTTTTAATTTTTTAGAAAACTTATTAAAAAGGAAACGTTTGCTAATTTGAAATAGTGCACAATTCTCTAAATTATTACTTTAAGTCATAACAGTGTGCGTTTATCAATTTCCTAAATTATTAAGTTCTGAAATTATGAACTTAGCTCAGTTAATCTCAAAGATGTTCTAAGGGTCAAAATAGTCAACTTAGGCTAGATTTTTTATTTTATTTTGTAAACTTAAGTATCACGTGTTGTCATAATAGTAATACCTATTATTTTGCCCCTTTTCAACAGCTGACATTTCCTGAGAAAACCATTTTTGTTAACAAATTTAAAACAAATTTAAAACAAATTTAAAACAAATTTAAAACAAAATTTAAAACAAATTTAAAACAAATTTAAAACAAATTTTAAACAAATTTTAAACAAGTTTAAAACAACTTTTAAACAGATTTAAAACAAATTTAAAACAAGTTTAAAACAAATTTAAAACAAATTTTAAACAAGTTTAAAACAAATTTAAAACAAATTTAAAACAAATTTAAAACAAATTTTAAACAAATTTAAAACAAATTTAAAACAAATTTAGAACAAATTTAACACAAACTTAAAACAAGTTTTAAACAAATTTTAAATAAATTTAAAACAAATTTGAAATAAATTTAAAAAAAATTTAAAACAAATTTTAAACAAATTTAAAAATAATACAATGGAGTGGCAGGTCCGATTTATTTTTCTGAAAATTGATTGCTTTCAAAGGAAAAGTGACTAGCGGATTGATGAGCAGAGACAATTCAGTTTTAAGATTCACAACAGTGGCATTAAAAGCTTTGTATGATTGTATGATCAATTATGAATTAGATATCAATCTTAATAATTTTAAGAACTATTTTAAATTGAGAATTCTCTACAAAAATGATTTGCGCATTTCTACAGCCGGAGAACTTGTGGAAATTGTCAAAAATATAAAGTTTGACCAAAAAAACGACAATATCTCCCAAATAATTGATCATATAAAGTATCGTTGTGAATCAGGCATTGTCATCTTAAATTGGAGGTTCACTTGAAATTACGCTTACAGTTCCTTTAAGTAGACCGATGTGAATACAACGCTTTCACACAAAATATTTTGACTGTCCCTTTAAGGACTTTTCTTTATTTTTGTTCACATAAAGTTACATAAAATAAAAATAAAAATAATAATAATTATATTAATAATGATGATAATAATCATAATAATAATAGTAATAATCATGAATAATAATGGTAATGATGATAATAAAAGTAATAGTAAGGATAAAATATAATAATAATAATAAATAGTTTTCCTGTGCCAGCAACTCAAAATCTCTCTTAGTATCATAACTTCCTAAAAATATAATTTTATGTTAAATCAATAAAAACTATCTTAATTTGAAAAAAGCTGGATGATATTCATTTTTATTACATAAAAGAGTATATACAGTGATAACAATTAACCAGGTGGACTAAAATTCGTCTTTGCTCAGTTTTAAATAACAAATTACCAAATCCCTAACATATGATACATAATATATATATAATCCAACTTCAACTTAATTAATCATGAATTGCTCAACTTCAACTTCAATTTAGTCAAAAAAACTTTTGAATGGTTGATATCAGGATTAATGCTTGACCAAGTCTTTTTCTTAATCTCGAGATTAAATGCTTGTTATTCTCTTGATATTAATTATTTGATCGGAATTAAAGATGATCCCATTCTAAAGTTTTCAGCTCGCAGCTCAGTGCTATATATTTTTTTTCGAAAAATTGTACTGAAATTCTATCAAGTGGATATTTTTTAAATAAAAATGTTCAAAACGAATTTAGATAATACCCAGGATAAAACATCTCTTTCCTATTAAAGAGGAATGATAAGAGGGGGTGGGGTATTGTATTTAAATAATAACTATATATAAACTAATTATATTTAAAATCCAGGGAGATGAGGGGGGGGGGAATTATAGATTAGTAGTTCAGCAAAACGAATTATACATATTTATCTATCTATCTGCAAATTTAAGGCTAAATCATAATATGGGGGGGAGGGGGGGGGTTGCTGATTATTATATAAGTTAACAAGCTGCTCTGTATATTGTGTAATTATGATTATGTATTAATTATAGATTGTATGGAACTAATAATCAGGTTTCAGTTCCCATAATCAGTCATCAGTCCAGATATATCTATTGATCTTTTATCAGTCAATCCGTCAATCAATCTTTTACTTTGAAGATCTGTCATAAAATCAATTTGTACAAAAGCATTGTGGTCAAATCATGGATTTAATCTGTCAGCTTGTTATACCCAGTCTAAATCACAATTTTTTAATTGTCAGAATTTAAACCTATTACATTTTTTCAGAGTCTAAACTTAAAAGAATTCATCGAAATCTCAACCATTAAAAATTAGTCAAAATCTATGCCAATTACAATTTGTCAGAATCTAATTCTCAAAGAATTTTTCCGACAAAAATCCTATTAGAATCTGATAGAATATAATCAAATTGGAATTCATCAGAATCTAATCCTAATAGAATTTACCAGAATCTAATCCTAATAGAATTTACCAGAATCTAATCCTAATAGAATTTACCAGAATCTAATCCTATTAGAATTTGTCAGAATATAATCCTAATACAGAATCTAATTCTAATAGAATTTACCAGTATCTAATTCTATTAGAATTTGTCAGAATACAATCTAATTGGGATTCATCAGAATATAATCCTATATGAATTAACCAGAATATAATCCTATAAGAATTTACCAGAATATAATCCTAATAAAATTTAACAGAATCTAATCCCTATAGAATTTATCAGAATCTAATCCTAATAGAATTTACCAGAATCTAATCCTAATACAGAATTTATTCCTCATACAATTTACCAGAATCTAATCCTAATAGAATTTACCAGAATCTAATTCTAATAGAATTTATCAGAATCTAATTCTAATAGAATTTATCAGAATTCTATTAGAATTTGTCGGAATATAATCCTTTAAAATTTTGTCGAAATCTTAACCTTTAAAAATTAGTCAAAATCTGATTCTATAAAAATTTGTCAGATTCTCAAAACATTTAAATTTGTCAGAATAAAATCCTAATAGAATCACAACCTATCAGAATAGAATCACAACCTATCAGAATAGAATCACAACCTATCAGAATAGAATCACAACCTATCAGAACAGAATCACAACCTATCAGAATTGTTCAGATTCTAGACCTATTTTAGTAAATGCCGTACTCGTCCCGCAAACTGTATCAGTCCAGGCTCAACCAGTCCACTATCCAAGTCAACCAGAACACAACCCACCTGCCTCTAAATGCCACACAAGACACAAGCGTGGCCTATCAATCTAGCTATTAATCAGGCTCTAAATGCCACACCAGGACACAAGCTTAGCTTCCAACAAGCTATTACTTCTGCTCTAAATGCCAAACAGGGACACAAGCTTAGCTATCAACAAGATATTGGCTATCTACAACAGATCTGTACCATAAACGAGGTATGATCTCAAACCCCAATGCTCAACAGGATACAATTACATTACACTGTAATGGCAGGGGAGTTCTGATTATAACTGACGTCTATTTCTAAATCTCTATGTTGCATGTAAGTTCCAATACGTATTCACAATATTACGCAGGTATATAATATTATCACAATACGTAGCTAGTATAATCGTATAACAAGTTTTACGTAGTTAAGGATTAATGCAGTTGGATCCTCAGACTTTGTACACCGCCTTATATAAATATGGGTATGTTAAACAGCATTTTTTACGAGACAGAATCTTAACCTATACAGTATTTGTCAGAATCTACAATGTGTCGAGAACTTCTTAACAGTTCAACATTAAATTAACAATTAATATCGTCTTCCTAAACCACAGTTTATTGTGTCTCACTGTATACCTGCCACGTAATGATTTGCTTTCCAGAATCCTTCTAGTTCAGCCTCCTCACCATCCTTAGCTTTTACTGTAGCCGCACATTTTCCCCTGCAGATTTCTCACAAGTTGCAGAATACTTTTAAATGATTAAAACTAGAGAAAAGGAGGTAAAAACGTAAACGAAATCACCTCTGTGACCTCGTATAAGCTCATCTAGTTTTGATTTTACACATAAGTATCAGGCAAGAAAAATAATCCCGTGTCCGAATTTTATGAATTTAAATCTTGAAAAATTTAATACAATTTTAAGTGGAACCAACCATATTTCAGCCGTGGCTTAAATTTAAGCCTCGGCTAAAATTCTTTAAATTCGGCCTCAGGTTACTTAATAAAAATAATTCAAAACGGGTTTTCCTTATAGCTCTTTAATAATAAGAAAACAATTGAAAACATATTAAAGTTTATTCTTAAGAGCAATTTACTTTAGTTTAACTAAACTAGTTTAACTTTAGTATAAACATAACATAACATAAATACACCTTGTTCATGTTGTTCAACATAAATGGTTTTAAGGGCCTATCGACGTGATTTCATGTGACCCTAAAGGTTTTAAAAAACAAGTGGCATGTCCGGTTCACAATGGTATCCTTGAAACCCTAGTCTATTCAAGTATCAATTAGATATTCATTTTTTTATTTAAACGCCGATAATTTTCAATTGTGGTTTATTTATAAAAGTGGTCTGCTGCAGGATAACAGTCTAAGAATTATCAGTAATAAACACTTTTTATGCCAGAAAAACAGAGGGTCACTTTAAATTACAAGGACAGTCCCTTTTTGGAGAAAAAAAATCAAGGATATCGTATTGGGTCGATAAATCCAAAATACAAAAATAAAGAAGGATCCTGCACCCCCGTCCCCCCCCCCCCCCCCNTAACCGGAGTTAAAAATGGAATGCATTCATTTATACTATAACACAAAAGGGTTTTTAAAACTTAAAAATAAAAAAAATAAAATAACTTTTACCAAAAATAAGATGAAGGGGGCCATGTGGGGGGGGAGGTCAGAATTTGCGTACAAAATTTTTAGGGTTTCCAAATTTTTGTTCAAATCTCTTTCGTGAAATTTTCGTTCAATTGAAAATGGTAACGAAAACGAAAATTCGTTTAATTTCGCGAAACTTTTCGTTCTTCCGTTGAAAATCTGATATATTTGAAAATCCTTTTCGAGAAATTTGTGCCAAATTTCGAACTTTCGTTGAAAATCCATTTTTTCACGACAATTCTTGAAATACCTTTATCGTGAAATTTTTCATTGATAATATACAAAATATTTTAGCGAAAGAACTGATTGATTAAAATCAAATCAGAACTTCGGAAATATCGAAAGAAATTATAAAAATGTTGTCTTTACAACTTTTCAATGGGTTTTGTACTATTTTACCTAAATCTCAGTAATTGTAAAAAATGTGTAAATAAATAAATAGCCATGACATAAGCGGGAACAGTTTTAAAGAGCTCCATATAATCATTTTATTAAAAAACTAAATATTTGCAACATTCCATTATCAGTAGATTTAGAAAACGACATTTTATTAATTCTTTCGATGTGTCCAAAGTTCTGAGTTAAACTGTAAATAAACAGGAATAATCTTAATTGATTGAAATCTTCAAAGTCGTCTTTTACCTTACAAATTGTTCGCGGCATTTACTAAAGGCAACCTAATTTAAGCAAAATTTTTTAATAAAACAATAATCACAAAATAACCCTAGGCCAGCCATTTCCAAAATGTGGTCTACCTTTTTTTTACTTTTAAGAATTAATATTAAGAATATTAAGAAAAAATGTATTAAATATAAAGCCATGAACACGTCTAATTCTGAACAAAATTATTCATATCTCCGGTAATTATGGAAAGAATAAATGGCAGACCACATTTTGGAAATTTCAAATCTTAACTTTTCTTCAACTTTTCATTTCAACTTGTAAAAATGCCTGAGTTCCTCTACAGTCATCTTGGATCGTGCATACCCAAATATCTGAGTACCCTAGACAAAATATTAGATAACAAATTGTTAATTAATCAAAGTCTTTTTGAGAAATATCAAGGAAAGAAGAAAGAACGTATTTGCCACACATTCCAAAGTTCTAATCTAATGTTTTCAAATAGTTTTAAATATCAAGAATAACACCATCAGGTTGTAAAGATTGGTATTATGAAGTTTGTGTTTCATGCAAGGACCACAATGAAGTATAGTCTTAAGATTTTCAACTCTTTTATAATTTCATAATTAGGATCAGTTTCAAAGATTTTTTTTCTACCATGACATGAAGATTAAAAATAAAATAAATAAATTTATACCAAATAATATCTTAATATCCTAGATACAATTATTCTTTTATACAGCCAAAGTCTTACAAATATTCAAACAACTTCTTCCCTTTCCCAGTCGGGTAATTCTTAACATTTTTTGCGGAATTATCAATTTTTTTCTCGTGGATTTTGAAAATGTGTAATATTTTAATGGCAAATTTTTAAGTTCTGGCCATCCATTCCGTTAACCTTCCCTAGGGTCATGGGAGGTTCGGTTAAGCCGTTTTTTCCCTTATTTGATACAAACCAAAAGACAAGCAATTGTATTCCTTTAGAGAGAAATATTATTGTGTTAAAAAAGTATAAAAACCTTTAAATTTACATTTTATATTTCTGATTATCACACAGTTTTAAAATTAAATAATAATTAACAATAATCTAATTAAGTTTCACAAGTTAATTTCAACGTAAATGATAATATCTTGATTAAGAAAGAAATAATTCTCAAAGTTGGCATATTCAGTAGATCCGACATTTTAAACAGGAAACTCCCTCTATTTCGCCCACGTGTTTTATACAAAATGGCTACTTAACAGATACCATTGACAGCTTTAAGGGACTTGGCGTTTCCGACTCACAACGATATTTTTAGATCCCTTGTCTGAGTCTTAATGACGTAGATATCCTAAACCTTATCCTTAGGCTACAGAGCATATTTCATTCTGTGATGTACACTGTACAATGTACAGTGTATTCTGTACACTCGCAATTATCGGCACCAAAGGAGTCGAGTCTTTGCCACAAACTCAAATTTTCTAATTACTATAACATTGCAACTTGCATGGTATGAAGCTTTGATATTTCAAACTTTTATTACTTGAGCTAACATAATTCATAGTTTGAAATATCTAAGGTCCAGGATATTGGGTTGCAAATATGTAGGAATCAGAAAATCAGAGTTTGTTGCTAAGACTCAATTCCTTTAACAGCAGCAATTATTATTATTATTATTATTATTATCAATATAATTATCATTAATAATATTATTAAAAGGCAGTCAATGAAATTGGACAGATATTCTAATGGTACCGTTGAAAATTACGTCTACAGTTCCTTGAAGCTAATTTGATGCCCAATTCTCACCATTAATTTATTAAACGCCCAAAAAAGTGGAAAACTTAAAAAAACCGCAGCCCTTGGATATTTGTTAAACAAAAAAGGCAAATTTTGAAAATAAAATTATAAACCATCCGGTTGCAAAGATAGAAAACATTATTAGGAATGTAAATTGCAAGTTGTTCTTTATAAACCCCCAATATGATTAATAAATCTACTGCCTACGTCATGATTTTCGTTCATGATAATGAGTCTGACTTTATAACAAGTTAACTGATCATAAAAGCTGAATAGGATAAACTTGGTTAGGTATGGAATATGTTAACCCAGTTTGAACTAAGGTTCGCCAAATAGTACCCATTTCTCAGCAGGAGGTGGCCTTCTTGCACCATAGGGGTCCTCATACAGAGCCAGCTTGGTAGACTTGGTAGGGGCGTAGGATAGATATTCTTCAAACAAATATACACTCATTGGATGTCTTCATGAATATCTCGTATCCATCTTGTATATTTTATTCATTCTTGGCAATTTTTACATACAAAGTTCAGGAAATACGAAAATTTGATTTTTAATTTTGTTTGATTTAACAACCAAATTTAAATACTTTTCAATGTGTGACATTTATAATATGAAGTTAAATACTTAACCCCCCCCCCCCTCTAAATCCCATGTTTGATGTCCAAATATGACAAATGATACATCATTGGAAACCTCTTGTGCTCTACTTTTAGAATCTGCTAAAATATTTGCAAATTTGCAAAATTTGTATTTTTTTATTTCAAAATCCAGTAATAAAGTATGAATGTTTGCAAAAAAATTTAAACAAAATGATTAAATAAACAACTTTGAAAAGCCCTTGACCATGCCATTTCGAATATGCAAAAAAAAATTTGCAAAATTTTTAATAAACTGCTGTGTAATTAAGAAAACTGAAAATGTGCAAATTTCTTTTGACGGGTAAACTTCCATATTTCTTGGCAAAACTTTTGCAATCCGTTTTCTTATGACATGGCTTACCAAAATCTGAAAATGGGTCAAAACAAAGATTTAGTTTGTTACAGGAAAAGTAGTCAGCCAGGCGGTGTGCATGAGAACTCAGGCAGTTAGTATAAAAGCCCGGTTTTAGACCTAAATGGAGGGCTATGGGAAAAGTCAGAAAATGTCAACAGCGTGAGACCAATACTTTTCGAGTTATGTAAAAAAAAACCAGCAGGAATAGGGTTAAAGTAATGGATCAACTTTTGTATAAAAATGACTTTAAAAACGCCTCATATGCACATTATGTATATAGGGCGAGAGCTTAAAAAAGCTATACCTATATTGGGATTACAATTGGGGGGGGGGGGGGTGTAAAAAAGTTTACCTTAGGCAGTAGATTGTCCCTGTAAAGAGCCCAGAGGGTCGGATAAATCTTCTTTCGCGCCAAATCTCCGCTTGCACCGAAGACGACAAACACATTTGAGTGTACACCTTCATCCTTCAACTAGAAAACAGCGGAACTCAGAAAAAAAGATTAAAATAAATCTGAAAGCCCCCTCTAGCTCTCCCATCTGAGATAACACATGAAACAATGGAAATGGAATTAAAAGCATGAAAATCCATTTATTGCTGTGCTTTTAATTTGGAATATCAAAAATAAAAATTTGAGTTTCATTTCCAGTTTTATGGGTCTTAAAATACAAAATTAAACTTTTTGAACTGAGTTGACAACACTCCAATAAATATTAAAGAAATTACACTCTGAATTTAAAGAAAAATTCAAATTGTGTAAAACTTAAAAAAAGCAACTAACTGTTAAAAAAAATATTCATTCGATTTCTACTTATTTTATGCATCAATAAGTTTAGCAATCTTAATTATTTAATTTGTCTGTAAAGGGATCATATATTTAAAGAGGTGAATGCACTATTCACTACGATATCTTAGAAACAATCTTCAACAAACAAATCACACATTTTTCATGAAAAAAAAATAGGATCTAGTTCATTCTTGATAAGACAATGGTTAAAAGGGAAGACATAAATGGGGAATAACGTCTCCACTTCCTTTAAACCGTTGATTTATTTTTCTAAAAAAATAATAACTATTTTTTACCTGAACCTTTCTTAGAGACTCCCTAAGAAGCTGGAGTCCTTCAGGGTTCCCTTCAGTGCACTCCGCGTCAATCATTGCGTCAGCACTACTAAAATATCATTGCGTCAGCACTACTAAAATATCATCGCGTCAGCACTATTAAAATATGCGTCAATATCAATTATTTAGGTCAGTATTATTAAAACGGATTAGTATCGTCAATCACAAAAACAAAATGGCGTAAGAAGTCAATAAATATAAGACTCATTTTACTATTATTGTTTATTTAAACAAATGTTTTTGTACTGTAATATTTCAATTAATCACTCAAAAATTAAGGGCTAAATTTTCAAAGCTTCTTTCTCTTTCTAGCAATCATTTTTAATTTCCTAATTGTTTATTTTTTTCTGTCAGCATTTTCTCTTACTCAAATTCGTAATTTTTTTAATTCTTCAATATCGAAAACTTGCAAATTTTTTTTTATCCGGCCAAATAACATGAGTTCTTACGATTGGTTGACCGATCTTTATGTAACCAAGATACAATTTTTGTTTGTAAAATTTACTGATTTATTATTCAAAATTAAAGCATGCATGAGGGATTGAAAAAGTGTTCACATGCAGATAGTTTGAGATCGGTACAATTGCAGATTCTAACAAATCATAAAAATATTAAGGAAATATATCTTTTACTAGGCTGTCGGTTAAAAGTTAAAAGAATCTATAACACCAGAGAATATAAACGAAGACTTTCCGAATTTTCCTCTTTTCAGTTAACAGTATGAAAAACGACGATATCTTCCTCATTTTTATCATCTTCTATTTCAATTGTGAACATTTTCTTTTTGTACACATTGTAAGACAAAAACTAACAAAATATTCGAGGATTTCATAAAAAAAATATTGTGGATTTTTAAAATTTGATGGAATTTGAATTTTGTTTGAGGCAAATTTTAGAAATTTTTATCATCCATAAACCTTTCCTGGGGTCAAGTGATTTGACGTTTATTGAACACGAACAAACAGACAGACACCCAGACAGACAAGCAAAGTATATAGATAGAAGAGATGTTAAGGGTACATTTGTGAATCGTGAATCATTAATTTAGTGGAAGGCCACTTGAAATTACGTCTGTCTATATCACTTAAAAAAACGTTATTAAAAAATCAAGGCGGGAGGGGGTGTCTTCAAAATTGAAATAAGTTTTAAATTTTTGAGTAAATAACAGAGAGGAAGGAATTGAAGTGTATGTTGGGGGGG